ATCGCTCCACCCAATCCAATCCCAATTTATTGCGACTAACTGGGATCAGGTGGAGCAATCCGATACCAATACCTGGTATCAGGTCCATTTTCGATCCGATCCCCGATAAATACCAATCCGGGGATCGGATTGCTTACAGTTTGGATGATACCCAAGTGTAAGGCATACAGCCCGCAGCATTTGGGTGCCGGATCGGGATTGCAATGCGATCCCGATCCCGATCCGATACCATGGGATCGGATCACCCTTAGTGATCCGATCCCTTATTTTTCGATACCTGGTATCGAAAAATCGATCCGATCCGATAAATTGGCCGATACCGTATCGGATCGGATCTGTTTCACCGTTGTTAACGGTCAGCCTGGGTTTTTTTCTTTTTTGTTGTTTCAATGCAATTGGCACTGATTGCTTTCAAAACACCTCAGATTCAGATGATTGATTGCAGCACCAGCTACCGGCTATTCTCACCCAGGGACTTGTCAAAACCTCAGGGGTCTTGGTCGTTGGTCAGTAGCAAACGTAAATTCACGATTTTGTTCCCAGCAGTCTCTACAAATCTCAAGCAGTTCCGGGAGATTGTGGCGACAGCGAGTGACAAACAGTTCCGTGGTGCCGGCGATTTAATTCGGAACGCGCTATGCGGTCCGGATTCCCGCAGACTGATTGGAAGATCTCAATGAGTCTCCCAGCTATCGGGGATTGGATCAAAAATGGACCCAATAACGGGTATTGGTATTGGATTGCTTCACCCAATCCCAGATGTCCAATAAATTGGGATTGGATTGAAGATCAATCTTATACCAATACCCGGTATTGGGTCCATTTTTGATCCAATATCCAATAAATACCGATCTGGGGATCAGATCAGTTTCATCGTTGATACAACCTTGTTGACTGCAAGTGATCTCTGCCAGTTTCCAAGGCTGTGTGATCTTTACTTCTGGGAGGGATGCCACCCGCTTGACAAGGCTGAACAACCTCTCAAACTGGAAGTAATCCCTTTTGGTTTACACAGTTGTAAACTCTTGTCAACTGGTTGGGGTCCTTGTTGGCCCTTGCGCAGTGGGGAAAATTCTTTATAGCTTTCCCATCATTCTTTTTGATTTTTATTGTATCTCTTCAATCCCACCATCCCTGTGTCCTTGATCTCCCATTTTTTTTTGAAAGAAACAAGTGCCCTGGAAAGAATCATGGAACTTATGAGGTTTTGACTTTGAGTGTGCAAAGCATTTTACACAGCCCACACCATGGAATACTGATGTTTCAACAATGGCTGCCATAGTGCAAAAAGCCCTTTTTGTAGTGAACAAATCATGTTTCTAATAACATATGTAAAGTGCATAAAAAGTTTACAAGATGTTGCAGCAAAACTGGACTGCAAAAGTTTCCAGAAATTGAAAACAAGAAGTGAGTGCCATTTTAAGAATTTTCCTTCTACCATCTTGATGTATATCCAGTGATGGGCTGCTACACTAAACTACACTAAATGACCCAATAACATTAGTGTAGCTACCCTCAAAAACAGTGTGCAAACACTGTAGTGTCAGTCCTTTAGTGGTAATTTTGTGGCCTGTACATGTAGCGTTAGCGCAGTCATGGCGGAATTCCGCTGTGCTATGCTCAGAGTTAGTGTAATTCTGCTATGTACGCTACACTGAACAAACATTATGGTTAGCATAACAGCCCATTGTTTTTATAGCCAAATTAATGTGAAAAGAGGATCACTCAAATTTCTTGACTTTGTCAAATTGATCTTCTCAAACTGCAAGCTGGCTAATCAAACTCTATCAAATCAGTTTTCAAATCTCTATTTGATGACAAATCACCATCAACATGAAGATCATCCTTGCTCTTTTTTTTCTACTGTTAATCTAACTCATTCAAGTTTGATTTCCCTAATGTTTCTTGAGTAAACCTGAGGATTTTATCATGTCTAGGAACAAAACCAAATTGGAAAGAAAAATAATCAGATGAAGAAAAGAAGCAAGAAAAATACAAATGATGGATTTCCTGTGAAATCTGGTACCCTCACAGATGTTGAATTGGACCCAAAAATTCTAGATTTTCACTGGGAAATCAATCTTCTGGCACAAAGCTGTCTAATAAAGAAAATATAAATCATTTAATACAAAGATCATATGTATCTTAGAAAACAACCAAATATGAAATAAATGAAGCAACACAGGACACAAGACTAATAAAAGAAGATAAATATTAGTTGAATGAACAGAAGTTGATGGGAGAGATGGTACAGATGGGGTCATGTGATGTTCAATTTTCTCACCAAATTGAACCATACAGTTTGATCCAAGAGATGGAGAGGAAGCTTTGAAAGGTTGATAGAGGTAGTTTGACAGAGTCAATATAGGGAGTATTGATAGTTTTACACAGTCAAAAGAGTTGATAGCAGTTGAGCTGAGATAGGAAGAGATGAGATTGGGATGGATGAGGCGGTTGAGCAAGGTAAAGAGAATGAATGGAGAGGAGATGAGGGAAGAAAGGGAGCAAGGTTGATCAACCAGGAAAAGGAGAAATGGTAATGGCAATACAAGATTAGGTTTTGTTGTGTGATAGATAGCCTTTTCAGGTGACAAGATAAGTGCAAGTGAATCCAAGGACTGATGAGGTGTCATAGTTAAGGCCCTGTTTGGCAGCGTCATAAATTCAAGTGTAATATTGCCTTAGAGCAACTCCACGGGGGTCGCTAAATCGGGTCGCTATCCCACGTTTAGGGACCCGGACCCCAAAAGACCCTCCCACCGCAGTCCGTATCTGTGTCCCTATTTTGCAGATTTGATCCTTGGGCTGTATCCAATCCCCAAATATGAGGATTGGATACGGACATCGGTTCAACAAGATTCACACAAAATTCCTGTGTTCCTCCTGTGAAAAGCTCAACCATCCATCACTCCACCACCCCCAATACCCCCTATTCTCTTTCCAACAAAACCAAACCAACCATGGTAGCCAACAATGAACCCATCAATCCCAACCTCCTATCCTCATCAGAAATGACCTCAGACATCCAAGTCATCTCAGAAGTCCAAGGAAGCAATCCACATCCCCCCAAGAGCACTGGAAAACCAAAAGCGAAGAAAGCCACCGACACCACCGATGGAGAAGAATCAACCTCCAAAGGTCGCTCCCGTAGCTACGTTGAATCGGAGGACCTTCAGCTCTGCAAGTCATGGGTCGAGGTCAGCGAGGATCCAAAGAAAGGCACCGACCAGACGTTCAACGCTTTCTGGCAGACGGTTGCTCAGCACTTTTTGGCTCAGCTCCCCAGCTCTGGCCAAACAGCCAAAAGCCTGAAGAACCGTTGGGGCGATCGGATCCAGAGGGAAGTGAATAAATTTGCTGGATGCGTAAATCAAATTCAAAACTTGAATCCAAGCGGTACCAACTCCAGCAACCGTTTCACCATGGCGATGTCATTGTATTCCAAGCTCTACGATAAACCTTTCACGTTCCTCGGATGCTATGAAATACTTTTGGCTTCCCCCAAATGGAATGACTACTGCCGCAACATTAAGAAGAAAGAGCAGCCGACTCCATCAAACAAGCGAAAAGAACCCGACAGTGGTCCTCCTCCAGCCAGCTCGTCAACTCAATCGTCAAGTCATCTTCCTAGCACGAATACTTCAGTCAATTCATCGGGAGATGAGACTAGTGTTCCTCCGACCCGCCCAATTGGCCGCAAACGGGCAAAAGAAGACTTAGCCGCCGCAAACACTTCCAAAAAAACCAAGAGAGCCTGAATAAGATGGCCCAGGCTCACTGCAATATTGCCGAAGCGGCAAAGAAACAAGTCGCGTTTCTGGATTCTCAACAAGCGGCTATGAATCGCTTGGCCGACGAATTGATTATGTGCAAGGACCTTTCCGGAGTTAGCGAGACCATGAAGAAATACTATGAGTTCGAGCAAATGAAGATTCTTGCGAGGATGGAAAAGGAACGGTTGGCTTTAATGAATCCCTTGCCTGCATCTAACACTTCAAACACCCCATCTTCCACTAACCCCTCCAATAACACCCCGTCTTCAGGCTGAATTTTATTTATCTCATCATGTGTCTTAGTTGCTTTTTGATATCTCTCATTTATTTCCATCTATCTGGCTTTTTTTATGTCTCTTGCATGTCCTACAATTGTTTCATAACTCACTCATTTTGTTAGAGACAATCCAATCTAAAATTGACTGGGTTAAAGCAATCTAAAAAATACAATAAAGGCCAGATGGCCGTTGAGAGTTTATTTTACAATGGATCGATCACACACTTGTTTCAAAATTCACTCAATTTGCTAGAGATAAGCAAATAGTCAATCAACTGAGTGAAAAGCAATGTAAATTAAAAAAAATAAAGGCCAGATGGCCGTCGACTGAGAGAAGAAGTGACAGTTTATTTCACAATGGATCAATCAATAAGATTGATAAGTGAGATGCTAGTTTGAAAAAATCTAAACAAAAAAGAAATCACTTCAAATCAATCGGACACTTCCTCTTCATCGTCGCTAGAATCACCAAAAGGTGGGAGGGGCTTGTCCTCCTCACTCATCTCTTCATCCAACTGACCCTTCCTTGCCCATAAATGGGCAATGAGATCATCCCTCAGAGCAAAGTGATTCATCGGGTCTCTCATACGTCAATAATTCTGAATGAAAACGGATAAATCTTTGGATCGCGAAGCGTTCGGCCGACTAGTCTCCGAGCAAGATGTTCGATCGTAAATGAAGTCGTGAGGCGTATCTCGCTCATCCTCCACAATCATATTGTGGAGGATGACACATGCCTTCATGACTTTTTGAAGTTTTTCGTGAGTCCAAGCCAGCGCGGGCCGTGCTACAATAGCGAACCGTGCTTGAAGCACCCCAAACGCTCGTTCAACATCTTTTTGAGCCGATTCCTGCATTTTTGCGAAGTACTACAAGATTCAAAACAGATTAGCATTGTCAAACAAACAACAAACATGAACACAAAAAAAATCTATCCTAACCTTCCGCTGAATCCCCTGTGGCTGAGATATTGTTTTGATTAGAGTGGACCAATCAGGATAGATACCATTGGCAAGGTAGTATCCTTGATTGTAGGTATGTCCGTTGATTGAGTAAGTGCAACTGGGAGCTTCTCCATTCAGGAGTTCTTGAAACAAAGGGGAGGCGTCAAGAACATTCTTATCGTTGTGAGATCCTGGTGTGCCAAAACCACAGATATTGGGAGACAACGGCCTCCAGAACAATGGTAGGAACCTGAAAGAATGAATGGATTGTCAATAATGAGTGCAAAATCATTCACCATTCAACATGATTAACTCACTTTTTCTTTTCCCTGGAATTGCCCTGCCCATGCGGTTGGGCAGTTCTTCCACTCCCAATGCATACAATCCAAGGAGCCAAGCATCCCTGGAAAGCCTCGCAATTTCCCGATCTTTAATAAGCGCTTAACGTCAGAATCGTTAGGCGATCTAAGATATTCACCACCGTACACATCAATGATAGCTCTTGTGAAATGTTCTAGACTTTTGTGTGATTTTGATTCTCCAATACGTAGATACTCATCATTTGTGTCGCCCGCGCCTCCGTAAGCTAGTATTCGCATTGCCAATGTAATCTTCTGGATGGGATACAAACCCAGTTTCCCTACAGCATCTCGTTTGCGAGCAAAATAACTGTCGTATTCGGTGACATCTTGAACTATCTTCATAATAAGGTTTCGGTGCATGCGGAATCGGCGCCGAAAGAGGTAATCGTTGTAGAGCAGAGTTTCTGAAAAGTAATCCTGGTATAATTGTGCATATCCGGCTTCAAAATCACGACGGATGTTTCCTGATTGACCCTTTCTGGATCCACCATGCTTCTTTGGCTGGGCTGCCTCTTCTTCTTCTTGTCGGAGTTGCTCTTGAATAATCGCCGTGCCACCTTGAAGAATGGCCAGTTGATATTGAGTCGAGGATGTGATTACAGCGGACTGGGTGGTAAGCATATTCTGAAGGATGGTGAGGCGATCCATGGTGGTGTTCTTGGATTGATGAAATGAAGAATATCCTCGGGGGAGGACAGGAAGCCACCAGGAGCAGATAGCGACCCAAGAAAAGGGACAAGCGGTGTTTGCCGCAGCAGCTTGGGTCTGTAAAGCTGGTAGTGCAGTCCCCAAACACAAAATTTGGGGACCGGAATTTACCGACCCCCGTGGAGTTGCTCTTATAAATTCAATATAAAATAAACCACTCAGAAATATGTAATAAAATTTTAACTGGGGCAAGGTCAACTGCTGATTTCAATTTTAGTACAGGCAAAGTTGAGATAATGGGATATGTTCAGCACCATAATACCAATATTACACTTTTTACTCATATAAAGGGTAATATCAATATTATGGGGCTCAAGATGGCCTAAGATATCAAGTTTGTTCTCAGCATTGATGAAACCAGTAATTGAACTTGCCTGAGTAACAATTTTGATACATATTTTGCATTGGTTCATTTTTGATTGAATGAATCAGGCAATATCACACCTAAATTTATGACGCTGCCAAACGGGGCCTAAATCACATGGAGTTTTAACATGTCTACTCACTTTTCTTTAGTATGTTCAGTTCTCTTGTGTTATATCTTATTTTGTGGTGCAAATTTGTTTTGCATTCGCATTTTTATACTTTCTATTCATTTTGTTGATTTTGATTTTCTGAAGCTTTTCATTACAGTCCTGCTGTAGTATATTGTTGTTTGGTTTGGGTTTTCCTTTTTTTTTGGGGGGGGGGCGCTAAATTTCTTCTTACTCCTGAGGCACATAAAAAAGGTAAAATTGTCCCAACCCCAAAACATCAAGTTTATGTTGTGAAAATTTGAATATGCTTGCTAGAGTGGAGAGTGGTGGCCAGTTACCAGTTTCTTTTTTTCTTCAAAACAAGGAGGGGCCTGGGTATCTATAAATTTAACTTTTTTAATGACATAGGAACTTCTTTTTGGCTCAACAATTGGGCCTACAGACTTTTTTGAAATAAAGAAGACAAGTAACAAAAAGACCTTGAAAGTCTTACCACAAATTTCATGATTTTTTTGTGAATTTGCCTGGATTAACAAGAATGGAATGTCCAACAAGGAATTGCAAGAATTGTCCTGTGATCTTGAAAACCTGAAAATGGATTCAAAAAATCCGCAGGCTGATCTCCACTACCTTATTTCTTAGTTTGGTAAAAAAGGGCTGCATTCTTTTTAACTTTTAGGCTCAAAGTGTCTGATTGGAATTTCGCGCTGAAAGGTGGTGAAGAGCCAGTAGAACAACCAGTACTACCACTCTTTGCCAGAGGGCCATCGGCAACAGGCGCTTCAACTGCAGCAGGATAAAAGCCGAAAAATTTGAGAAAGCCCGCCCGCCGGACAATATTTTTTAACATTGACCTAAGGCTACATTACCATTATTAAGTTACCTAATGTGTAACATCTTCTGAATTTCACCCTACTCAACTTTATACCTTAAAATTCCCCGGAATAAATTGATAGCTGATATCTCCCATTAGCTTTCATCAGTCCGTCAAACCACTTGGTCAGGCTAGGGTCAGATCTGGGACCCTCACAGATGTTGATTTAGACCCAAAAAGTCTAGACTTTGACTGGGAATACTGGCTTTTGAGGCTGGAAATTGCTTCTGGGAGACCTGAAGATTTTGACAAAAAGTAAGCCAATGACAAAAGATCATTGGAACTTGGCACCGAAAGATGGTAAAGGGACTACCACTTATACCATGTTCAGAACTACAATTCTATAGAAGTGACCCCTTTACTTCCAATCAATTTTAGGGATTCTGTAGCAGTGAAGCCTCGCCGGTCAGATGAAGCAGCTTATAAACAGCCTGTGGAGTATGATCGCTACCGTCCACCATAGCACATCCGGGTGATAGGGAGAATCCAATCCAAGCGCCTATTGTCAAAACCTCCAACAGATCGATTCCAGCCCCCGTCATCAGCACGGCAATGAAACTATTCACAAACCCCATGAATTTAGTCGCCCTCGCCTGCATTAGCAACATTCAGCTCGTCTTATCTTCCTTCACGATTCGCAATGGGGCAATCCCAAACTGTTACCTGAGGCCGCAAGGGTGTCAAGGGATAGGTCGGCTTCTGTCAGAAGCCCAAGTCGCCGTATACAACTTTCCAACTTCGGATTTCTGTGGTGAAAAATACCTAAAACGTCCTTCTTGTGACAATTGGCGTGAAAAGTTGTACTACGAGTGTGATGCCTGCTCCAGGCTCTTTCGCCAGAACAAAGGGCCCTCTATGGATCAACGCGCCTCAACCTGTCGACACTACAACAAAGAGCCCGTAGAACGACCAACACTGCCACTCTTGGACCAATCGTCATTGGCAACAGGCCCTTCAATCGCGGCAGACTAAAAGGCAAACAAATCGTAAAAGCCCGCCGGACAATGTTTTTTAACACTATGACCTACGATGCCTAATATGAGTGTACCATCTTCTAGGGAGTTTACTCTGCCCGACTTTATCCCTTGCAATTCCCCCGAGTTACTGGATAGCTGACAACTCCGACTAACTTTCATGAATCCATCAAATGATTTGGTCAGGCTAGGGTCAGAGGGTATGATCTACTTTCTGAGGCAAAATTATGATTGGGTCCAATCCTTTGTCCTCTTAACAATCGATGGTGAAGCAAGAACAATCAACGCCAATAATGGATTTGTGTGTGAATGGTGGTGGCTCATAAGAGTTGGAAGTAAGCGTGATGAATATTGTTCCATTCTAGATGCATGAGATAATCTGATAAACCAATTATCTGATTTGTTACATCAAACTTCTCAACAACATGAGGTATGGAAAGAAAATTATTACCTTCAAATTGAATTCACAAGAACAAGATTGCACGAAGTCAAAAGCTTCCCAGAAACCTCTACCCTTGTCTTGTTGCCGTTGGTAATAGTATCATCTGAAAATGAAATTGTGGTAATAAGAAACCAATTATAATCAGATCACTTTGGAAATCTTTAGTCGTTATCTGTTTGATTGTATGTACACGATCACGATTTATAAGAACTTTTTCTCGATTTCAATAGCAAGTCTGGATTGATCTTCCCCATGAAGTAGTGATGCGGGAACCAATTACGAGTCATCTGAAAGCTTTGAATGCCTCGGATCGATTTCGAAGTTGGACCGCCCTCGTTAATGGACGACTTCCCGTCAGATCTGGGCCGCCTCCCAGTTTTTGATTCAGAGCCGAAAAGTCTAGCTTTTCGCAGGGAAGTCTAGCTTTCGAGGCTCTAAACCGGAACTAGGGGACCCGCAGATTCTGACGGCCAGTCCTCCTGTAGTCTAGACTCTTAATCCGGTCTTCGTTATTTGAATCTAGAGCGGCTTGTCCTACTCAATCTCAATCAAATCTCAGAGCCAATATGACCCGGCTGAAAAAGGGCTCAATTTACATAAATATAGTTGATCTCCAGAGATACCAGGATAACAATCCGAAAAGGAAAGCCAGCGGAAAGGATCAAATTAAATTCATTTTGATAGAGGATGCATGAAAACTGTAAGGAGGAAAGATATGTATCAAGATGTGATGAAAAAGTCCATCCCGCTCCCTGGATGAAAAGATCGGATGCATGAATGGAGAAACATTGCGCTGGCCGAGGAAGAGGAGGAGAAGAGACAGAAAAAAAAAAACAACAACAATCATATTCAGACTAAAGAACAGACAGAAAAAAAAGAAATTGTCGGGCATCAGGATTCAGAACAGACAGAGAAAATGTCCGACTTCAGAAGAGACGGAAAAAAAAGGGGGGAATATGTATTCAGGACTCGAGTGGAGGGAACAGACAAAGAGATCAGCCAAGCACTCGTAATCCAGCCAGAAAAACGGGTCAAGGCTGCGTACCAGTATATCCGTTCTGAGTGAGTGTAAATTGAAATCTGTCCAGATTCATGAATCGGTTACTTCGCGGTCTTGGAAAGTAATTTACGCTTTGTTCGCCCTTGAAGGCTCTTAATTTTTCTTTTCAAAACTCATAAATCGGGATGGTTGAGGGTATCTGAATTCTCTCTGCAGCATCAATCCTGTCGTGGCAAGCCAGGACTGGATGTATCATACATTAATAAAGTCCATTGGGATGATGTTCGTTTAGATTTTTCCAGTTCCGTTCCCTTAATGTTACCGTACTAAAGGTTGAGCGACTCGCGCCTGCCATCAATCTCCAACAAAAGCACCCCCCTCCCTCATTCAAAAATGTCCAAGTTGATGGAAGAGCTCTCTTCATCAGACCTGCTGAGACTCATGAAGACCGTCTCGCCCGCTCTGAATCCGTTCTCATTCCTCTTGGATGCCATCAACAGATTAGACTCAGCCTTGAGCACACCACAATACTGGAAGTTGGTCGTCGTCAACCTGGTGATCCACATGCTTCTTGCACTTCAAGCGGCCATCGCCTTGGCCTGGAAGTTCTCCCGCAACAAACGCGTCGACGGCCAGAGCGCCGCAAGATGCTGGTTTTGGCGCCAGCGATACGTCTTCGCTTCGCAACAACGTCCATACTGCGAACCCAACGGCAACCAGATTTTGGAGCTCTGTCAGCTGATCGGATGCACTTGTTTGGAAGTCTACTATGTCTGCCTCTACCGTATGACCAAAAATCTCGCACTTTCTTATTCAAACTTCGGCTCCGCCGCCTTTTGGTTTACGTTGAGTCATTTACCAGGTGCGCGGCGCCTAGCTTTCACTTCCTCCAACGTTACTTCCCGATCTGATCTTTATTGGGATGCTTTGTTTATAACTTATGGCCGCAGGTATCATGGGCTTCTGGTTTGCCTCCTGGAGTGCCCTTTATCTAGTGTGAGTCGAACCCCCCCCCCCCCCCCCCCTCAACAGAACAAGATCTATACCAAAACCCAAAAAATCGCATGTTCCCTGGGAATTACGGATATATCAAAGTTTACTTTGTCCTCAGAGATCCGAAGTGAACCCAACAAGCAAAAAGAACCCGGGCTGGGATCCAATTCTGATGAACGTACTCTGCATCGGCGTGGCGATCCTTACTAGTCATAATCTCAGCGTATTGGGCATAATCCTAAAGCATCCAAAACCACGACTTGGCGACCAATCTCAGATTCCTGAGGGATCACTCTTCGCCCAATTGGCCACCATGTGGACCCCAGAAGTACCGCAAATCGACCCGCAAACCATCCAGCTTTTTGCCAAGCCTCTGGACATCAAAATCCAGACCACCCGACGACTCATACGCAGTTACCAAGTCATTGCTTTCAGTTGGGCTATCATGTCTATGCTGATGTTGATTGTGCGTCCGCGTCTTCACAATCCATTGCACGATGTTACACCAGTGATTAACAGTGATTCCCTCCTTTCGGGAAATAACCCCTCCATCTCTCTCTCTCTCCATCCTGGAACCCGTTTTTTTTATATATACATTGAATTTGCAACACGCCAGTTTTACAGTGTGACGATGGCGGCGATCTGGAGAATCCTGCACAACCCCCATCAAAGTAGCCCGCCCCCCCGAAGGCCGTTGATGATCAAGCTGAGAAGGAGTTCGAGAACCACGAAGCCAAGCAGACCATCGACTCGACCACGGCTGAGCATGGCCTCACACCTCTTCCTAAACCGGCCTGCTCGTCCCCTCCTCTGTCGGATATCCCCACTAAAGAAATCAATCCCGGACTGGCCTGTCAACTGAGAAGAAATTTTTGTCAGTCTCTTAAGATTTTCTTGATCAATATGAACATAAACGGTAACAACATAAATATTATAATCGTCTCTCTCATTTTAATTTTAATTTTTTTGTTTTTGTTATCTATGTTTAGATTTCTTGAGTGTCAGTTGCACACTCATGGCGACCTGTTTAGTTTGCAACATTTTTTTTGGGTTGCTCTTGGGGATCAAGATCCAGGAAGGTATCGAGTAAGTTTTCAAAGACTTGACATCCCATCTGGCCGATGTCCGATCAAGTGACGAGATGATTCTTGGAACAGCATACAGGCGGGCAACATGATGTTTGCGCTCTGTACAACCGGCAGTTTATTGAGTTCCTTATCTCTCCTTCTACAAAGCGTGCGTCCCTCGTCTCACCACAATCCATGTTGGCCTCTTCTTTCGCCCGGTATTAAACCTTCTTTTTTTTTTTTTTTGCTACAGGTGGTTTATATGATTTCGCAATAACTTGAGACTCATGAACATATCATATGTACACATTCAAGTAATCCTTCTTTTGGCATCATCCTGCAAGCTTGAACCAAACAAAAAGTGCCTTTTCATTTCATTTGTTTTTTATCCATACAATGAAATCAGGCGTTCTAAGCTTGCTCAAGTTCGAATAAGCTGTGCAATGAACAACTGTCATGATTTGATCCGGGAGGTCGAATGAAAAAATGCATAAAGTTAGAAGATCAATACCCAAATTGTACTTTTCTATTTTTTTTCAACTTTCTTCCTCACTTAATGAATCCCTTACAAAGTAAACCAAGGTTTTTTAGTTGACTGATCTTCCAATTGTTACAACTTCCACAGCACTAAAGTTACCCTAATCTGGTATACAATGATCACCATAATTACTATAAAATAAACAGTTTCTTGATACAAATAGAATTCACCAAAAAACATGTTTTGAGGATTGGTAGAGTCCATTACAATAGATTAACAGATATGCTAGATTCGATCCTGATGTAGGGGCTTAAAGAAAGAAAGCAAGAAGTGTCAGAATCTAGAGATTGGATGAGTGGAGAGACTAAGTGAGACATACAGTATTAGCAGCGGGAGTTTTTCCTTTGCCTAGGAGCTGATTATGGACTTCGACGAGGCCTTCATCCCTGTCGACATCGAGGGCGCCTTTGTCGGCCAACTCGGCCAAGAAATCGTCGACCTTAGCTTTGGAGAGCAAGTTGATAGCCCGGGCGTGTGTTTGGAATGGGGTGGCTGATGCGGCGCAGCAGGAGGGGTCCTGTTCGTCTTCGATCATCTCCTCGGCCGTCATCGGATGGCTGGCGTGCTGGGGTGCAGATTTCGCGAAGTTTGTCGCCCGTTCTCGCGTCTCTCGGACTTTGTCCAGCTTCAGCAGACGCTGATAGTCCCCTAATATCATCGTCGATTGTCCAATCAGGTCGACCGGCTTGTTCGTCTCCGGATCGTATATCGTCCGCGCCTCTGAACTGATTTGGGTCAGTTGACTCGATACTGCTTTCAAACCGGCAAGCTTCCTATCAAGTACATTCGAAACTGCTAATAAAGAGTGATAATCGTCCTTTGACTGATATCATTGTTTTTTTGACAATTTGGTATGGCCAACATAATCAGAAAATCAAGGAAGTTTGACAATAGTCTCAGGATTTGATTTATTGAACTCAACTTGATTGTAATCCGATTTGAATTTCTCAAGTTTAGCCCACCGTTCCTCTTCCTCGAGTTTAAGTTTTTCCCAATCAGGAGAGACGATCTGATCGGCAGAAGCTTGAGCATCAGAGGAGGTAGTCGGTTGAGCCAATTGATAAAACTGATCCCACAAGTTCATATGTTTGAATCTGAGGTGTTTCATCAACTCTTCGCGCAGGTTAGGGAAGTTGAAGACGTTTCGATGGAGCCAGATCTCGAGCAAGTCGAACTGATTGTCGATCGATGAACAGAGCAATGTTTCGAGTTGGTTCAGTGATTTAGCGATGTCGTCCTTGCTCGGGTATCCAGTGCTTGTAGAGGATGGGAGGCCTTCTGTCCCGTTCTCGGCCGAACCGGGGAAGTATGATTCAATCACCGCCTTTTCTACTTCTGATACCGTATCGTAAATTGCCTCGTTGATGATGTTGAAGATATGACCTTTTTTTTTCAAATTTGAAGATTGAATCGGTTTCTTCTTTAATATTCATTATTGACTGCAGACTACTTACCAGTGAATACCTTGGGTGCGAATCCGAAGTGTTCGGTGAGCAGATCATCGATCGCGTATTGTTCGTTGAGTGGAGGCAGTTTTTCCAGCCGGTCATCCTGGGAGAAGGTGGTGGTGGTGTGTTCGTTGGTTGTTGCCATCTTGTTTCTGTTGGTCAGTTTTCCTGGTGGGGGATTCGGAAGTTACCCAGGCTGGGTTCATGCACACGGGGGGGTTTCACAGGTTTTCCTGATTGGCCTGGATCAGTGACAGGCACATGACAGCAGCTCCCAGTGACCAAAGGGGCCACTCCACAAACTCAGAAGTTGGAGAACTCATCATCAACCCACACCACATTCAGCTTATCATTCGACCAAAACCAAAAAAAAACACACAAGAAGAAGAAGAGGAAGAAAAGGAAAAACACCGATCAAATTCCAAGCAATATGGGTAAGTCACACCGAAGATCTATCAAACCTGAACTAACACAACATCCATACTGTCTTTCTTCTTCTTGCATGGTGGTGGTGATGATGATGATGATCTTCTAGTCCTACTCTTGACGATCGGCGATTTACATATTCCGATCAGAACCCACGATCTGCCCAACAAATTCAAGAAATTACTCGTGCCTGGTAAGATCGGGCAAATCGTTTGTACGGGCAACGTCTGTGATCGAGAAACCTGGGAATATCTGAGGTCGATTTCTAGTGATGTCAGAGGCGTCAGAGGGGATTTTGACGAGGTAAAGCAAATCTCATCCATCTTTGCTTTCCCACTGAATCTAACAAGCTTTTCCTCGATCTTATAACTCACACACACACCATTCTGCTTCTCATCTTCACTCTGCTGATTCTTTTCGATCGAATTGGATACCAATCCATTTGCTCAAGATAGACGCCCAATCTACCGCCCTCTTTAACGCTCCAACACGGCTCTCTCAAGATCGGTGTGATCCATGGACACCAAATCGTCCCGTTGGGGGACACAGAATCACTAGCCGCTGCTGCCCGCAAACTGGATGTTGATGTCTTAGTCACCGGTGCAACTCATCGGTAAGTCACACAAACAAACAAAAAACCCCGATCTGTTTGACTGCCATAAATCTCTCATCCTTGGTTTTGATGCAAGCAATTTTTTTTTATTGGTCACAGGTTTGAAGCCTTCGAATTCGAATCCAAGTTTTTCATCAATCCGGGCAGTGCTACCGGAGCATTCACGCCCACATGGCCGATCTCACCCCCACACAAGAGCTCATCCACCAACCCATCCTCCTTAAAATCTCCCCAAAACTCAACCACCACGCCGACCCATCCGAGCACCAAGAGCCCTAACGGCTCCACAACCTCCCCCACCCAATCCACTCGATCACTCACCCACCAAAATAGTAGTACCGATCAATCTAAGTCACCCACTAATCCAAATGCTCAACTGGATCAACCTTCGACCGAACCTAATGAAAACTCTCGCAACGTACCTCCCGAGGATCAGTCCTCCACTCAAGACCAGAAACCCATCGATGATCCTGACTCCTTGTATCCTCCCGGACCGATCCCTAGCTTTGCTCTCCTTGACATCCAAGGATCAGTCGTGGTCACTTATGTTTATAGACTGGTGGATGGGGAAGTTAAAGTCGAAAAAGTCCGTACCTTGTCCTCCTTTCTTTTACGTTTGATCAAGCACACCATAGAAGACTGACAGTTTTTTTTTATGTTACTCGGTTCTCATTCTTTTTTTTTTTTGTTTTTGGTCAGATCGAATACAGAAAAGAAATACCTATCAGTAGTAAAGATTCATGAATAATGTACAGATAAATATCTATATCTATATATGTGTGTGTTTATGTTGGTGCGGTGTGTGTAAGATAATTTAACCCTTTTTATATACATATGCCTCAGGTATGCAGTTAGACAGGTTTGACTGTATGCCTCCATGCTTTGAATCCGGTGTAAGCACATCCACTCCAAACCAGTGGAGTCAAGAGAGCCGTCTTGATAAGACGGGTATGACACCTTCTCGGTGGAGTTCCTTTTAGTTTTCTCTCGCTGAACTAGTGACTTTACAATCAATCCTTCCAATCGGACCAATAATAGACAGGTCACGCCTTTTGGTTTTTGCCGATTCTTTTGGCTGGTTATTGGCCAAGCCTGGCGAGAATAGCAATCCTGCGACCTCAATGGAAGTCTGAAACCTCAGTCCGGGTTGATTTGCATTGGGCTTCTCTCCCTGGATCCGGATATATTGCAAAAACATAATATGAACGTCGGACTTGGGAGTGCGACTTTTACAATAAACTGAAGGGGTAATTTGGTGGGGAGTTCCTGTGGTGATCCTTGGAACTGTCGAGAAATAAAATCTACACATTTGCTATGAAAACCGGGCTACGAGGACTCAAAAAGAACAAAAAAACGACAATAAGAAGAATAAGCGGATGGGGTTCAGGACTATATAACACATTGGGACAAGCAAGGATACGTGGTGGTCAGGGTGATATGAGCTGGCATCTTGTGGCGGATATACATGTTCGTGATGGTTCAGGTGGGATATAATGGCGGGACAAGATCAAGTTTCCTGGACGTGTCTTCTTTACTCAGCAGTACTTGGTGCTGGCTTCTTGCGAGGCTGGCTTTTTTCTTAGTACAATCAATGGTGATCATATGTCAGCGACCAACTTTCTTCTCGAGTGATATCTCTTGTTGGGAGGATATTGGCGAGGTACCCGAGTCATGGGGCTAGGAGAGGAGTAAGGAGGACAGAAAAGGGGACGGGATTGCTCAACTTTTTTTGGTGACCTTTTTCTCTTCTTCAGGTTCCTGTTGATCCTCATTTTCGTCTTGATTTTCCGTGTTAGTGGTTTGGTCACTAGCTTTTGGTTTTCTATTAAAGCAAAAAAAATGAAACAAAAACAAAAACAACAGTATAAGAAAATCAGGTAGTGAAAAATTATCTTGGTTGATAGAGAGAAGTTAGACGAACTTGGGCGCTCTTTTGCGTTTCTTGACTTCTTTTTTCCCGTCTTCTTCTCCAGGATTCTCGGTTTTTTCTGGAACTGCTGAGGGCGGGAGATCGCTTGGGTCGACTATAATTCGAACCATCAGCCAATCAAAAAAAAAATGAAGTTATTCAAAAGCAATTTCAATGAAAGTCAGCATGAGACTGATGGGAAGGAATTGACTGACTGTGCCCGTCTTGGAAGGCTTTCTTAATCTTCTCTTGATCAGTTGGTTGAAGGTCCTCAAAACCATCGAGCTCTTCGATCTTATCTTCCAACTCGGTGGAGACGTTCTTCAACACCTGCGAGACGACAAGTGTGAATGCAGATGAGGGAAACCGGGCAACAGCTAATTACTTTTTTTTTGATTTACGGAGAGAAATCATAGAGATCAACGGTAACGAGCAGCCGATTCTGTTGTTTGACTTACGGATGAAGTCAAGCAGCCCCAATGTCTCCATTTGAACGAGCCCTTCTCGTGCAGAGTAACCCAAGTGCCAAACCGCAGTTGACCCTTGGGTATCGCAGTACCTGTGCAGAGACACGCCGAGGGCATCCGTTAGAATCCACATCCCAAGACGGGGAAAAAAAAAAACGCGTCGAGCGCGGTCGAAGGTTGAAGTGGACCTACCGAAACACGGTTTCCTGCCATTACATTTCGCTCGTCCACTGCTCGCGTACTGGTTTGGTCAATCGGTTAAATAGAAACAATCCAAGATGTTAGAGTAGGCTCTGAACTGATTGGAATAAATCATCAGGACGAGAAGGATCATGCTCACCTCGACTCGATAACCAGGCATGCTTCGATTCTCTTTTGTTTGTTTTGTTTCGGAGGATGTGAAGAACAACAAGAGGGAATTGGGGAGGATCTTTCTTCCCAGATCGGTTTTTTGGAAATTAGAGTTTACAGATGTCTACAATTCTATATGCATATGTGTAGATGCATGCATGTGGAAGACCAGGGGGGTCAACTGACCTTGAGAGAGGTCTACCGTTCCGGAACAGAAGGTCTTCTGTGTTGTAACATGGAGGTTACATACCTCTGACTCGCCGCAGCACGGCACCTGAGATGACTCGGAAGAGACCTCCGAGTCATACTCTGTCTGGTTACTACATTGAACGATACACTTTTCACTATCCAGGTTCCAATATTCTGCACAACTCAGGCAAAACAGCATTTTTCAAGTGAGATTTCGGCCTTTGGTGACCTACATATCTATGTACATGAATAGTTGATCATTTTAATTTCATTCAAGTTATGAGGTTGTCTATTTCAAGATGGCAATTTACCAGGCCAAGAGATAGCTTGCCTTGTCGGAGCTTGTGATAAGCCTACAGAAACAAGTGATATAAAAAATTGGGCTCTTCTTGTTTGTATAATTTTTTCTCTTCCATTAAAAGATATTAAGAACAGGTTTTGAAGGATGGTGTGATTTGTGGCAACGCTGCCACAGATACGATATGCTGTGTGTATCATGGAGAATTCTGCAAAGCTGCATGGCCAAAAACCAGATTTGTTGAATCTCCTTGCAAATAAAAGCAGATTGGTCAGATAGGTTTTTTTTATTGGGGCTCAGATACATAGTGATACATGGCAGATACGGGCAGATACCGTATCTGTGGCAGCGTTGTTTGTGGCAGGCCCATCACAATTAAATTGACTATGAAAACTACGACTAACTGATACTTTACATCTACTAAGAATTTCAATCCATTAAATCTTGTACAGAATTCTTCAATAACTCCTTAATTTCAGACTGGGCTACCTTATGCGCAATCCTGACCTTCTCTCTGTTTTCATGAAATAAGCTTTGTGCCTCTTTAAAAGGACTAATGCAAGAAGACGTGCTCTGCATTGTGGTAGCTGTCGAATTCTCTAATGTTTTGAGTATATCCGTAACTGAATCGATCGTTTTCTCAGCTCTCCTCTGCCTCTCATTTCTCCAATTCTTGATTTCGGGAAGCGGTGAAAGTACGATTTTCCACTTATCATTATTGGACTTGGTGTTGGACGTAGATTTTGGCTCCCTGATGAAACAAAGACGCCAGAAAATATATCAGTCCGGAGAATTGCGTGCAGAGTTAGTTTACACAAAAAATGGACGAACCCGTCAGCCGATTCATCATCAGAATCAATCGAAATCACTGCTTCCTTTCTTTTGGTCTTGTGTTTATCGCCCGTCTTCTCTCCTGCAATGGTCGAAGTGACAAAAATAAAAAAATTAGATCAAATCGAATCAGTAAGATGATCTGGATCAGAGGATTTTAGTGAGAAAGCTTACCTTGTTGGGAGGATTTTTTAGATTTCTCCTGCTTCGCTCCTGCAAGTTCATCGAGTTCATCGACCGCATCACTTCTGATTTCCCTTTCCAAGCTACTTGGTGAAGCCTGTAAAAAATTGAAAATCCAACGATTGAATGTTCGACCATCGAGATCTATCTGAAAAAAGTTGAGAGGAAATTGGGAACCGTTGTCTGCTTCGTGCTCAACTCACCTCGCTGCGGTGCCGGTTTCTGGATCAATTGAGAAACAGTAAATCCAAAACAATACGTCAGAAAAGGGAATTGAATGTAGAACTAGTTAAACCAGGATATTATTATGGGCGAACTCGTTGGCTGATTCATCATTAGAATCAGTTGTGAGCGCTCGTTTTTGTCTTTTGGACTTGTGTCGATCGTCTTTCTCTTTCCCTCCCATAGCCGGTTTTACTCGTCTTGGTAGCACTCGTCTGTGTGTTGTGATCTTGTTTTGATCGTCTTCCTGTACAGTGGCTATTGCTCCTGAGACATCGGCGTTTGCAGTTTTGTTTTTTTGAACCGCCTTTGGTGTCACATCACTTGGGTCGACTTTTTCACATTCATGATTGAACAAACATTCAAAAAAATCACAGATAAAAAATTGAAGTTCAAGGAATCTCGATTAGATGTTATAGTGAACTGACTGTGACCGTATTTCAAAGCGTTTTTAACCTTCATTTGGTCGTCTTCTTTAAGGTCTGCCAGTCCATGCAGACCCTCAATTTTACCTTCCAGCTTCTTCATAGCGTTGCTTAACATCTACAGAAGGCACATATTTAGAAATCCATGAGATGAAATGGTCAGCGACCCATGAAAATAAAAACCATCAACTTGAGGAAACTTGGACGCACTTGAGGACTTAAACAACCCCAGTGGGACCAGTTCGAGTGATGATAGCTTCCTTGGATCTCCTTCCTACCAAACCTGATTTGACCTGTAGATATTGATTGGCCTGTGATGAATGAAGCCATAAGTTGAGCCACACTAGACCGTCTTAAGAAAACACGTTTCCGAATGCTGCGTATGGTACGTGTGGTCACAAACTGAAGTTACCTGGGCCAAGTTTGCAGCCAGTGCATGCTACTTTCCTAGAGCTATACTTTTTGAGGTTGATTCGTCAAGACAAGCCAAGGTCAGAGAGAGATCCTAATTGTGCAATCAAAATCAAGTTTGGGTAGGTGTCTGCTTCATGTTATGCTCACCTCGACTCGGTATTGATACATGTTGGCTCGCAAGTTTCTGGAGAATCGGATACGAAGAGAATCTGCCTCAGATGAAAATATTGGGATTGCAGTCGAATATGTAGACACAAATGGGAAGGGACAAATGAGAGTTTACAAAAAGTTGCAGAAGGGTTGAGAAGGCAATGGACACAAGGGGAGAATAGTGAAGTCAAAGACTACATAAACATGACCAAACACCACATCTTATACACTACATGGGTGTTATTCAGACATACGTTCAGGACATAATAGAAAAACAAGAGAGAAACCAAGGTACAAAGGAAACAATACTATGGACTGATTGTAACGTTTTTGTAGATAAGGGATAAGTATTTAGTCTTGACCTGGCTGAGAAGCGTGAGTCCTTGGTTGAGCGAATGGGTGAGGATGAGTGTTGAGTAGCAATCGGTGACTGGTTTCTAACAAAATGGAGTTTCAAAAGCTCAAAAGGATTAAGGATGCTAACTTGACTAAGAGTCAAACTTGAAGTCCCTGCCCCCCCCCCTTTGTCGGAGTGGTAAACCACTTGGGGACGCTGTCCCGCAGCGGGACAGCGTCCCCCTCCCATTGGAGAGTTAAAGGATGGTGACCCCAACATAAAATATCATATCATAACGATTTTCTTCAATCCATGTGTTATTCACATAGTTATTTTGGGTCGGCTTGTTGACACGCTTACCGCGAACCTAGCTACGGAGCGAGCTCCCTCCGCATCAGGGGGGCGCAAACTCGGGGTCCACTGAAACTGGGCACCTGTGCCACCGCAGCTTTCAGCCCGTCTCCGCAGTGTTCCGCCCGTTCCGGTGCGACAAAAACTTGTCTTTGGCCACTGCTCTCAGTAATTTTGTTTTGTCGAAGGAGCTTGTAAGAGCTTTGAAAACAAAACAGATGAATGAAAATTGGGAAAAGCATGACACAAAATAATTGTCCAGCTGATTGGAGGCGTGATGCCAGTTACATAATTTGAAGAACAGCTTGTAAAAAAAAGAGTATAGACATCGATGACCCTTTTCCGCTTGTTTGGCAGTTTGTAAATTTTATCCCTTTCCGGGATCTGTCATACCTATCATGCTTCACTGTCAGCACTCGATCCATACTGATTTCAAGTGTTTGCTATTGTAGTACTCTAGGTTTTGTGTCATCAGATGATGTCTGCGCCTGAGTGGTCTCAACAAGCTTTCAGACATTGCTACCGACAAGCAGACGTGGAACCTTACAGCTTGTATTGGCCTATGTAGCCAATTTTTTTGTTAGTGTCGCCTCATTTTGGCCCATTATCTCTTGCTCTATCCTTAATTTCTTTCTCAAAAAAATCATTACCTTGGACACCTGCTGCCTTGGTATCTGCTGGCAGTGGAAGTCAAGCCATGCTTTTCCTTCCACTTCTTTTCATAGTTGAGTCTAATCCATGGAATTGCTTGAAACTCATGAATAATAGTATGCTGATGAAGCAAATTTTAAATCATCTGGTCCTATGGTTTGAACAGATTAGTGTGGGGATTGAACCTATTATCTCGGGACCCTCTGAAAGTTGTGAAACACACCTTGGCACTTGGCGCAAAACTCAAGACTTGATCAATTCTGATCGAGGTTGCACTCTGATTGACCAGACGCCGTCAGAACATCCAGATTTCAATCAAATCAAGACGAGCAAAGTGGCGGCCGAAGAACTAGGCGATTTAAATGCAACAGATTTGCGCGATCGATCCGCTTCGGATGTCGACTTCCGATCCCCAGATGATAAGGTTCAATCCGGTTCTGAGGATGAGAGTGAAGTATTGTCAGACGATGAGGCTGTATCATCTTCGGATGATGAGAGCTACAGTCGCGTTAACAGTGCAATCAAGGGACCTCCGAGAGGCCCCTGCGAGCTGTGCACTCGGTGTGTTCTGGCTCCAATCATCATCTTTCTACCTCTTTACGCTTTATTTTTGGAGCCTCTGGCGTCAAAATTGTTGGAGCCTTTTCAATAAGAATTTCTCGAATTACTGTGTCGCACTTGTCTGGGGGGAAGATGTGCATACCTAGAATAGAAGCCTACCGTCAATATATAGTTACGACCTCACTTAGAATATTATTCCTCTGGACCCCGGGAACAGTAGTCGCATTCGTAATCACAATTCTGTTATCCATTCTCATCTTTTACTCAGGTTAGAAATAATTTAGCTGCTTCCAAAAAAATTGCATATTGGTCATCAGTTTTCAATTCTTGATATGGATGATGAACCAATTGTGTTCCTCACCATAACAATGCGTTGTGCTCAATTTGAAGTCTTAGTGTGGTCGCAGATTTGTCTCTCTCCTCTGCCATTGAAAGCAAAATGATCGGATGACCATTGAGCGCAACCACACCCTCGATAGCCCTAAGCTCTCTCCCATGAGCTTGATTCGGGGATCGGAATCCTCTGGATCTCCGCACACCGCAAACGACACAATAGTAGTCAGATTGTTGCATTGATCCCCTTCAAGAAAAACTCAGTCGTGCGCAAGACATAGTGCATAAAAACCCATTGTTCGTTGCATGAGGAAGAGTAAAACCGTCACAAATAGATCAAGCAAGTCTTTTCTCTTTGTGTCTCTTCCTTTGCAGCGATCACTTGCGTGGCCCCTCTCCGATGACCCTTGTTCTATTGCGGTCCGGCCTCCGCGCCGGCGTATCCGCTCGATCGGATAGCCTCACAAATCGAAGGCCACAACCAGCACAGCACTTTTTTGCACAGCGGGATGGAGGAACACCAGGCAAGCGGAGCTCTGTAACACCAATGAGGTCATTGCTATGGCCGGTGAGGTAACCCAATCTTCGTTCATGTGATCCGGGAGACCCGAAGCCGTCTCACCGAGTCATGAAAACTTGTCAAGATGATGATTCATTCCATATGTCGACCAAAGCCTGCCATCTGGGCTCTACGATCGGCTAATAGGCGTCAACATCGCAACGTTCAACTACCCGCCAGTATGCCGAGAGTCTGACGCACAACATGTAACGAGGGTGTTCATCGGACACTGCGTTATGTCGTTTAAGCTCTGGTCAGGTGGGCAGTTTTCTCGTTTAGGTTTAACGGAAACGTCTCGGTCTGATTCAAAAAGAAAACAAATCGATTCAGTATCAATAGAGAAGCTCAAGTCTCATAATGTCCATCAGATTCAAGCCGCGTTGATCGTCCCAGAACGCAGTTTGACCAGATGTCTTATTCAGGGATGCCTAAGAGCTTTTAAACCGCCCAGGGACATGAAGACCATGCTCCTTCTCGTCCCCAAATCTGTGCTATATTATCATTGTTAATTAGCCCACATGTTCTTCACCGTTCTCGTATTTTATGGAAGCCAAGCCATGTTGCCATTGACAATGCTTGGTATAGTTGAGTCATATTGACCTCATCTCCTTGCAATGATGTGCGAGTGGCCCGCGGACCGGACTGACAGTGTTATTCTGAGGGCTGTAGTTTTTTACCGTGCCGGTTGTCGTTGTACTTGCTCAGATGGAACTTGCGGATCTCGGGGCATGTCGACAAACAGTTGAGCTGGGGATCTTGGAACCAGCTCCCCCACCCCAAATTAATCCAATGAAGCCGACTATAGCTGGTTACATGCCCAAGAAGTTTACGAACATACGGACCGACATCGGCACCAAATCTCTCTATATGAAAACGGGTGAAGCGGCGCGACTGCTTGATAATAAAAACTTACTCACTCGAGATGACCACGATCAACCAGGCGGTTCAATCAACCAGAAGCTCACAGATCCAACTCCCAAATCCGATGCAGACAAAAGATCAAGCGTTCACGAGTGTGGGGCGACACTTCAACAATTACCACTTCAAATCCTTCACCACGCCCAGCCCAGTGATCCAAGTAGATTGCAAAGATTCGGACGCCCTTCCGAAGATGATGGAGTCAGGATACTTGAATCAGATGCAGCATGCTCAATTTGCCTCGACAGTTTTCAAGACCCACGAAAGAATCCCATAGGAGAATCAGAATGGCAGTTGATATCTAGCTGTCCTAGATGCATGGCATGTTACCATCGGGATTGCCTCGCAAGCTGGTTCTTAGATAACAATACTTGTCCATGCTGTCATAAATCATTTGCTATAATACCCACCAACGTTATGCAACGTATTGACGATAAATTGTGGGTATTCTCCATTCGTTTGGTTGGGTTCATTGTGCTGGTCATGCTGCTGTCAATAATGAAAGATTATTGCAGGTAGATTGTCATCTCTCAAACTATTATAATCACTTTTTTCCTTTCAAACCACATAATACTAGACTTTTTAAACAAATAATCAGCCTTGAATGATCTATCTTTCATAATATCGGTCGGGAGGAATGTCAGTAGAATCTTGTAGCTTTAGATCAATGTTCATTAGTCAACATCAAATAATCATTACTCCTTTGATGCTGCAACTTGCAAGCGCCTACCGAACCAAATTGATTTAAAATCATTGGTAAAGGCGGGAGAAATGACGCATCTTGTTATGAGGGACCGAAAACGGAGGATTTCGCGCTATGGGCCGAGATTTCAAACGTCAGTATCCTTCCCCCCCTCAAAAAAAAAGGTATTGGTGTAAATGAAGGAAAAAAGATACGTGAAATTTTGTAAGGCCATTTATCAATACTTCAAAATCCAGAGAATCACTTGGATTATCTCTGTCATTTTACTCATGATGCTCCAGGCATCCAAACTTGCCAGTATTTTAATAGGACCTTTCACATTTCATTTTAATGAGCAAGGTGAGTTTGCTCAAGTGATTATACGTAGTACTTCCCCGCCGCAAAAACAACGATACTTCCAAAGAAATTCAAGGCTTCTGCATGTTCCCTCAAAGAGTTGTCTCAGCCAAAATAAAAATATCAAACAAGTTACATCTCTGAGTCTTACGGAATCTAAAATAAGGTTAACTTCTCAGCAGGGAGTCTGCATCTATGTCGACTAGTGTGACGTTATGATCTTTAGTAAAAGCTTCCTTATAAGTTTGGGTCTTCAACTTTGGCTTGAGAAAGGCCTTTGGAAATTTCATCATGTGTGAATACATACAACAGCACTTGTTCGATTAGATATGAGCGTGGCCCTGCGTGGGTCTGATGATCAGGTCCAAACACAATGCAGTCCCATGAAGTCCGATTGGTTTTGTCTTTTTTGTTTTCATGCGTTTCTTTTGGTTTCTGACTTGGGTTTAATCCCTTATCGAATGGTTTTTGCCTTCACTCCAACTCACTTCACCGTCATTCCACACCCAACCACCACCACCACCCTTCACCCCCTCACCCCTCACCACCACCACCATCACCATCACCATCACCATCCATCGACATCATCCAAGCAATCTCTAAAAGAGAAAAACAACATACATAGAGGAAAGCAAGGCCAACCGATTGCACCTCTTCCTCATCTCCATCGATCGAGAGTATGTCGACCGGCCTACCCGAATCGAGCGAGTCGGCTAACTCACTTGCTGCCAAGCTCAAACAACAACAAGCTGGTCTAAAATCCATCAGGGACAGACTCACCTTGCCCGAGATCGATTTCACCCTACACACACTCGATGATGGCTCGATCGTCAGCACTCAGGAAAGAGTCGTCAAGGAGGTCCAAGCTCCTGCATTCCTCAAACCAACCGATGCCGAATTCTTTAGTACCGTCGACCCTTCCAAACCGTCGGTCTCTTCCTCAATCTTACCTCTCCTGCTTTGCTAAATACTTCTCTTGCTTTTTTTTTCTTCTTCTTCTGTTTCTCTTTCCAATCTTACTGACCTTTCCTGCGAATCTTGGCTTGGATCTTAGTGATGTTGCATTCTTGAAGAACCATTTCTACCGTGAAGGTCGATTGACTGAGGAACAGGCTCTGTTCATCTTGAATAAGGCATCCGAAGTCTTGAAAACTGAACCCAACTTACTCGAAGTCGAAGCTCCAATCACCGTCTGCGGTGATATCCATGGTCAATACGTCAGTCAATCTCTCCACTCCCATCCCCATACAAGCTTGCTTACTCGATGATCCTTATCTTGTTTTCTCTTCTGATCATCGTGATCAACTGCACATGGGCATCTGTTCTCAGTTTGATTTGATGAAACTGTTTGAAGTTGGTGGTAATCCGGCCGAAACGCGGTATCTCTTCCTGGGCGATTACGTCGATCGCGGATATTTCTCAATCGAAGTCAGTTGTCTTTCTCATCTCCTGTTCACCTTTGACTCTTCAGTTGAACCCCTTTTTTCCAAAAAAAAAAAAAAAAATTCCCGGTCACCAGTGTGTTCTATATCTCTGGGCCCTAAAGATTTGGTATCCAGATACCCTTTTCCTACTACGTGGTAATCACGAATGTCGACATTTGACCGACTACTTCACATTCAAACTCGAATGCAAGCACAAGTACTCAGAGCGGGTCTATGATGCTTGCATGGAGAGCTTCTGTTCTTTACCTCTCGCTGCCGTCATGAACAAGCAGTTCCTCTGTATCCATGGTGGGCTTAGTCCCGAACTCCAAACCTTGGACGATCTCAAGGGCGTAAGTATATGACGCTCTGAACTTTCTCCTCGCAACTTCACTTCGAACTCACCCCCTCGAAAACCTCCCTCGCTGCATTTTGCACAGGTCAATCGCTTCCGTGAACCCCCAACCCATGGCTTGATGTGTGACATCCTCTGGGCTGACCCATTGGAAGATTTTGGAAGCGAGAAAGCGGCCGAAGGGTTTGTCCACAATCATGTCAGAGGTTGTTCATTCTTTTTCAGGTATGCCCACAGCCCTCTATCCTCTATAGCTCAAGAGGCTTGTCAAGTAGGGCTCTTGGGAAGGATTCATCATTAGAATGATGCTCATAACCTGATTTTTCACTCACCAGTTACCAAGCTGCCTGTGCTTTCCTAGAGAGGAACGGGCTTTTGTCCATCATTCGTGCACATGAAGCCCAAGACGCCGGGTATGTCGGTTTCTCTCTTGTACTTCAGTTCAATTGCATTTGTTGACACAAACAGCATCGGAATATCCAAACAGGTACCGCATGTATAAAAAAACGAAAACTACTGGCTTTCCATCAGTAATGACCATCTTTTCAGCCCCCAACTACTTGGATGTTTACAACAACAAAGCAGCCGTGTTGAAGTACGAGAATAACGTCATGAACATTCGACAATTCAATTGCACACCCCATCCTTACTGGTTACCTAACTTCATGGATGTCTTCACTTGGAGTCTTCCATTCGTGGGCGAGAAAAGTACGTTATCAAGAAACAAATTTACACGTTTGAAATCAGTCAGATATGTATTCCTTTATTGATAGCAGCTTGTTTCTAGTTACCGATATGTTAATTGCGATTCTGGGGATTTGCACTAAGGAAGAGTTGGATGAAGAAGAAGAAGAGCTGCCACTGGCTTCAGAGGAAGTTGAATCTGATCCAGATTCGCCCTCGGCAGCTGCTTCAGCAGAACGGAGACAAGCGATCAAGAACAAGATTATGGCCGTCGGAAAGATGTCGAGAGTGTTTGCAGTCTTACGAGAGGAAGCCGAAGCGGTATCCGAATTGAAATCAACGACTGCACAAGCCAAGTTACCTTATGGAGCTTTGGCAAATGGAGCCGATGGAATCAAAGAGAATATTCTCAAAGCAGGCTTCGACCAAGCACGTAAATCGGATATCGAGAATGAACATCTACCTCCAGAGTTGATCGATGCGGCCGATGTTGAAGGGTTTGAGGAGTTTGCCGAATCGAGGAGTCCAGGTGCGGCGGATGCGGGAGAGACAAACCGATCTCGCTCACGATCGGGCACGCTGAACTCGTTAGCCGGCTCGGGTGATGGTCGAATGCCGTTTGGAGACTACGCCTCTGGCAATTCCTCGGTGCCCACTAGTCCAGCCTTACCCGGCACACCCGATCGGCCCACGATCGGCTCGGCCAGTGGGACGCCAGTCGGCGAAGGCCTCGGCTTCTCCCCCACCACTCCCGGTGGAAGCCCGAAATTCAAACGCGGTCATGCTAGGCGAGGTAGCTTGGGTACTACTATGACCAGTCCTTCAACTCGTCGCAGAAGCTTGGAAAATACAATTAGCATGATCAAGTCAGCTAGATTCCCCTTCTCTCTCTCTCCCTCTCTTCTTGTTGGGAGAGGCTCGGTGTCCCTTGTTTAGCAGATCACTGATCAGGTTGTATTGTATTTTTTTGCTTTGTTTTACAGAGAAGCAATGGAAGGACAAGGTAAGATATAATCATTCCTATTGATGAGATAATTTCTGTTGATTTGGCCAAGAAAATAGCAAAGTCTACTCATTGGAAATCGATTCATATGAAACTCACTATCCTTTTCTTTCTTTTGATTTTTTGATAGCGGATCCGGAAATGGAAGATTTGGCGGATGCGGTCGCGCAGAACGCCTCCCATGCCCGACGTCATTCTCGGTCTTCTTCTGGATCTGGATCAGCTTCTTGAACAGGAAAAACCAAAAAAAGTCTGAAACTGATCTCATGTTGGTGACAAAACTTTTTCTAATCCTCTCCGCCAAGAGTCATTCATTTCACTTCTTTTTGTTCACTCAGAGATGAAACTTCCTTTAATGGTTCTCCTTGTTTTAACTTATCAACTCTTTTTCTTTTCTTCATGATGATGATGATGATGATGATTCTATTTTTATTGTTGATTTCAGATTTATTTCTCATACATTATAAGATCTTTCTCTCTCTTTATTTCATTTCATTTCATTTTTCTTTTCTATTGTGTGAGTGAGTTAGTGTTTGTTGATTTGGTTGTGTTGTGAAGAGTGATGTGTGATGTGTAGTGAAAGATCATAAAGAATTTCATAAATTCAAACAACTAAACAACTCAAGACAAGTTTTCTATTTGTTTTGTTTTTTTTTGTCTCCCTTTTTTTGTGCTTGTCTTGTTTAGTACTGGAGCATATCATCCACTTTTCACTTTCATTTGCACACCCTCAAAGACTTTTTTTTGTCTTATTATTTCAATCATCTACTGATATAACTTCAATTTCATAAATTTCTTTGTTCTTTTTACACAAACATTCTTGACTTTTTCTCTTCTGTCTCTTTGAGTCTTTCCCCCTGTCTCCTTTTCTCTTCCTTCTTCCTTCTTCCTTTTGTTTTGGTTTTGTGTTGTGGGTGGATTGATTGATTGATTGATCAATTGATTGATGTTGACTGACCAATGTAAAAAAAAATGTGTTTATTATGTTGTTTATAACACTTACATTACAAATGAACTTTTTTTATTTTCAAAAACCAAAAAATAAACTTTGCCAGGCAGTGACAAAGAATGACATTTGACTGTTTTTGTTTGTTTCTGGATTTCTTATCTCAGCTTTCCACATATGGCTTCTTGGTACAAGTTTTCAGATTTAATGTTGGAGAGCAATCATTGAGCCTCTAAAATTTTTTGATTCATCATTTTCTCTTTTTGTTTGATTTGATACTTTTGACCTCATTGTTGGGAGGGGGGGATTACAAATTGGGACTGTCAATAGCACTTGATCATCAGACTATCATTCCATAGAACATTGTCTGATTGAAACAGGACTTTCATTCTTGTCTCCTTTGTGTATCAAGTGAGCAGAAGTGAAAGATCATTTGGCTCTTGAAGCTTAGATATTGATACTCTTACAATCCTAGATGATGTTAGTGGTGCGTGCCACGTGGCTAGGCTTGATTTTGAAGAGTTAACTTACTTCACTGGCTACCATCCTCATTCACCCTAAACCAGGTTTTCTCACCACCATCTCTCTATCTCTTCCCCCCTCCCAACTCTGTGTTCTTTCCCTTATGTATCATTTGGGCCATGGAAGATGAAGCCCAGTTTGAGGCCAAGTCAATTAGCAAGGGAGTAGTAGTCAAAATTGCAGGTCACCCAGGTTGAGTTGTAAAAGGGTTTTTGTCCAAACCTTTGGCCAAAAATTAAGAATGAATCAGAAATATTACGTATACATGGTGGAAGTCGTGCCCTTACGTCATAGGCGGCCCGGTTAGCTCAGTCGGTAGAGCATTCGGCTTTTACAGCTCGTGCGCGAGTACTGACACCGAAATGTCGGGGGTTCGAGCCCCCCATTGGGCGCTTCATTTTTCGTGTATTACTTTTTCATGAACTGTCAGACAGACACTTTGGAAACGATGTATCTTATGTTATTCCTGAAGTCATGACTGATTTTTTTTATTGCTGAAATCATGACTGTATTTGGCGCAAGCAGCAAAAGCGGTTTGCTGTCCTCCTGGTTCGAAAGGAGCCCAAGTTGTTACAACGCGGTTGATGACTTGATACCTTCTTTGCGTGTACCTCTTCTCTCTGTTGTGTATGCGTAGCCGGCGGAAGACTATACGAAGGAGTGTCGGCCCATGGGGACCCAGTCATTCTGACGCCCAATCTTCGGACCGGCCAATCATGATACCTGGCGCGTGGGATAAGTAGAAGTGACTGGGTTTTGTGAAACCGATTTCATTCAATTTCGAGCTGCCCAAAATGAAAAGGCGACAGGTCTCGTACTACTCCAGAGCCTCTTCCTGGCTGTCGGTCAGCTTCGCTCGATGTAACGTAAGGCCATCTATCTATTCATATCGAGGGTTTCGCCCGGTGTAACACAGGAGCGAATTCAAGGTTGGCGAACTTTTCCTAGTGTACATAGCGCATTGAAGCGTTTAGTGGAGTTCTTGGGTGGTCGCGAAGCGACCGACGGCCATGCCACTCCGGAGTCCGAAGCGAGGTGCATTTTCACGTCTCATGTCTCCTGCCCATCGCGATGAGCTCCAAAGAAGAAGCAGGCTGAGGGCTCCTTGGCTGTTGCACTGGCCGCCACTGTAGAGAACACTTGACATTCCTTTCTCTTACACCCTACGCGAACGAACTTCTCTTCGGATGAATATTTCTTTCTAATTCTAAAAAGCCTTACATTCATCAAACAAGGGATACAAATATTTAGCCCTCCCCAATTCTCTGGAAGAAAACAGCAGTCAAAAGGCGAAAGAAAGACAGAACATGTCTGCCAACAACATACCCCCCAAAAGCCCAATAGAATTTATTCTCAGCCGCCGTTCTTCGCGTGATTCACTGAGGTCTACTGGCGCGGTCGAGTGTGATGAATACGGATCAAGCAAGCCAATTGAATCCTTCACTGTGGAATCTAAGCCAGTCATTTACATCTTCATCCCGTCCCGCTCGCCAACTATTCCCAGTTTACCAAACATAACGCCTCAACCCATCTCCATGCCTAGCGCAATCGCTATGATCATCGTCTGCGTAACTGCCAGCATTATCAGCGTTAGTAGAAATGGTCTTGAATAGTTATACGATTCGGGGTTATAAAATAGAAAAATACGAGCTTAACTTTGGCCACTTGACCACTGACCAAGCCAAACAAATATTTTTATTAGAATGCTTCCTCAGTGTCGATGAACCTTTTGATCCCGAGTATCCAACGACAACTAGGTATTTAAGATCAACCTTCTTCTTCGCATTTACCTTCGAAAATTTGATACATATGCACATGCCCAAAGCCCTGAATACTTGCAATCCATGCGGGCATGCAGACGAGATAACTCACTCGTGACTTTTTCTTCTCCTTTTGGTTGAAATATAAGGCATCCAAGCCAGTGATTTGCAATGGATCTCGAGCGGCTTCCCGTTGGGTTTCGGTAGCTGTTTGCTGTTGTTTGGCAGACTTGCTGATCTGGTTGGTCCAATATTTTTTTTCTTTCAATTTTCAATTTTCTCTTCGCTCTTCATCTTTTTACTCAATTTTCACCTACTTGTCAAGTGCTGTCGCTGCTTGATTCTGTGTCATACTTTCCCTACCAAGTTGATCACCAAGCTTATGGGGAGCAGGAAAGGTTATTGAAATGATTTGTTTTATTCACAACCATTCCCTATTTTTAAACCTACTCAACAGTATGGCCATAAACGCTTCATTCAAGTTGGAACCGGCTTCTATGCCCTAGCTTCTCTGGGCTGTGCCCTTTCGCGTAACCATGTCCAGCTCTCGATTCTAAGAGTCTGCCAAGGGCTTGGGGCTGCAGCCACTGCGCCCTCGATCATCGGCGTATTAGGGAATCATCTAGAGCCGGAATCCATCCTCAAACGTGTCGGCTTCGCTGGTCTCAGCGCTGGGCTACCTTTGGGAACTACGTTTAGCTTGCTTGTCGGCGGGTTTATCACACAAGAAGCTGGCCCCGGATGGAGATCCGTGAGCTCCTTTGAACGGAAAACTAACTTATATGAACTAATTGTGCTAACCACCTTCTTTTTCTCGCACCCGGTGATTAAAATTTTGAACAGTTCTTCTATCTCTGTGCTGCTTCTGCGATTGCCGTTTGTGTATCAGCAACACTAATAATTCCGAAAGACAGACAGACAGATAACAAAGAAGGAAGCATTGATTGGCTAGGAGGGGTTTTGATTATCGCCGGCTTGACCGGACTTATCTTATCCCTCGGAACTAGTTCTCGAGAAGGGTCGAACAAAGCGGTTGTTATCGTGACATTCATTTTCTCCATAATCATCCTGGGATGCTTTGTCTTTTGGCAGAGGATCCTCGAGATCCGCATCAATGAGTCTCTCCAAGGTGGTGTCCATTGCAAAAGAATTACTCAACCGATATTGAAACTAGACCTATTTAGAAGAGATCATCACCAGTTCTTAATCCTCTTGATGGTCGTTTGCTTGCTTTGGTCCGGCTTCGTCAGCCAGAATTTTTTCTTTCATCAATAGTTAAGTTTTCTTCTAACTGGGTTTCTCTACTTGATTTCCTGCTCTCATGAGTCGTACCACTTCCAAGACTTCATAGAAGGCTAATTGCCAGTTGTTTGAACTTTGTTAACTGATTTGGTATACAATCTTTTTTGAAAACAGTCTCCAAGATTATTTGGGATTGGATTTACACAAATCCGTCATCCGATTCATCCCGATGTAAGCACCTGGTTGGATGGAATGCTCAGACCGTCTTAAGACAGAAGCAAGTTGCTGACCAGTCTTGTGATGATGAAAAAAGGCCTCTGGTAGGACTCCTGCTGAACATCACCTTCGGCTTCCTATCCCATATCGTCCCAGCAAAAATCTTGATAGTCTTGGGCTGTATGGGCACCGCGACCAGCTGTCTGCTGTCCGCACTGATGGACACCTCGGCCCGTTATTGGACTTACAACTTTGCCTCGGTTGCACTCTCCGTTGTTGGACCTGGATTTGTGGTCAGTTGATCTCGCCCATCATTCTCTTGGTATGTAAAATGACTCGAAGGCGGATCTTTGACTGATATCTTTGTTCGCATCACCCTGGGTCTGGTCTGCTTTAAACATTTTAGGTTCCCATAGGCATAATGTACGGCAGCCAAATCTCGAGTCAATCCGAGCAAGCCGTTACGGGTGGGCTGTTCCACACTTTGTCACGTGAGCGTCGCGTATCTCAACACCTTGATCATTTCTTTCCATTTTATAATTCTCCCCTTTGCGTTTGCTTGGTTTTGGGTGGTTCTGGAAAGCTGGGAGAATCACCAGGATGCTAATATGTGTTTCATCCCGGCTTGATGTGATAAATGGATTCAACGATCAGAAATGGGTAGCGCAGTTGGCCTCAGTCTGACGACTTTAATCCAGGTAAACCTTATTTTGTTTTCTTTTACAGTTAATTTTATGCTTCTTCGACAGCCCTGATTAAAGATGTGAATGTGGACTCTCCAACAGATCCAAGCCACAAGATATAGAAGTCAGAAAGAAGGAATAATTATAAAAGATGATTTGGTGAGCCCTTCATAGTCCACCTTGCCAATTTTGATGAAGGACTATAACATCCATTCCATAATACTGTAATTGAATTCCCTGATTCATCACTGTTTTATGTATAGACATTAGCAAGTCCTGCTGCTTTCCTTGAAGGATTGAGGGCAGGTTTTTGGCTTTGTTTTGGAATTTTGTGCCTTGGTGAGTTTTTTCTTTTCTTTCTATATTGCCCCTCCCCCCAATGATTAGAGTTTTTCTGAGGGGGTTTCCTTCCCAGTTGAGATAATGAAAAACACTAACTCTTTGTTTGTGACCAAAAATGGGTAAATAAATATTCAAACAAATAACTAGCAACTATGCTGTCCATGGTCTTTTTGTGCAACTTGAAGCTCATTGGAAAAAACAAATTGGTCAATTCATCAAACTCATCAATAGAAGAAAAGGGAATCCAAAAAACCTGAAAAAGTGGAGAGTGGACCAAATTAATTGCTTTCATGTGATCCAATCTTTATCCCGTCTCACACTTATGTGGCAAATATTCATTTTAAAATTCCATTCATTCATGAATAAACAGACAATCAGCATCTGTATACTCATCCACAGTCTCTCATCAAGTTATACAAAAAACAAATTTTTGTTTGTACAGAAAAAATTCCTTATTCTTTTTTTTGTAAAGAAGACCTTCACTCATTTTTTTTAGAGAAACACTTGGCTGATTTTAATGGTTAAAATTTTCATAGGATCAAACAAAAAAATTATTGAAACAAACATTGAATTTCTAGCACACACACTATGAGATGAGATTGCTTGAATAAGAAAAACCAATGCTTGTTGATGTCTAAGCTTCAGCCCTTGAACTCTATAAATCCTTAGCCTACTGTGATCCCTCATTATTGAAATAATCATGTCATTTTGATCAAGCTCTTTCAATGACATCATTGCACTCAAACCCTCTGAGATCTCTTGCGCTTTTATCCTCCCACTCAATACCTCTTCCTTTTTCCTTATCATCTCATCTTTCTTCATTGCTTCTTTCTTTTCACTCAGGAAATAATCTGAAATCAATGTTCCTCCATTGCTCAATTCCTCCTTCTTACATTATTGATTCTACAAATCACTCAATTTCTCCCCTTATCCTGATCCTCCTATAAAACTTGACATAAACTTTCCTTGTCAAACTATCTCTGGATTTTAGTCAAACTTCATCCCCAAAAGAAAATTATCATACTTGTCTTAGATCATCATCCTTAACAAACAGTGTTGTCTTAACTCCATCATTTTCTTCCGATAACATCCACTCCTCATCTATCACCTTTCTCTGGCTCTCTCAATCTTCTTATCAATAAATACCTTCTATTAAACAAACTTGCTGATCCCTGCTTTCCTAACCTCCTTTCATTGTAGGTTCTTATTATGGATATCTTCTTGTTGTTGTTCTCATATTAAACAACTCTCTTTTGTCAGAACTCTCTTTTTCTTTCTATCTTCATTATATTATAGCATATTGTTGTTCTTTTCATTAGTCATATACTGCTTTTAGGTGATTATATTTCTCATATCTTTCTTTCTCGTTGCTTGTATTTCTTTAGGCTTCATTTGGCTGTCCACAATTGTCATAGACCATCATTGCAAATTGTCAAATCAGAATCTTGGTTTGATTCCTTCAGACTGTGCATATGAAGCAGCCTGAAAATCCATATCAATAAAGATGTGGCTGTTTGGTGCACCTTGGAAGTGGATTATTGGAACAGAAGTTTAGGAGGACAGGGAGGTATTGTGCTTATCAGAGGGGGTGGTGTGCAGCTGGGGGGTAATATGGTGTTGTTGGAAAGGAAAGCAGAGTGTGATGAGAGCACAGAAACGGATCTTAATTTTTTTTTTGGGGGGGGGACCCAAAATCTTTGATTTGGCAGGGAATATATCTTGTTGGCCATTTCCTTCATAAGAGAGTGGATATGACGTGGCATCCCAAACACCATCATGAGGCCCCATCATTAGCTGTCCACCCCTGAAATATTTGCCATGATTGTTTATGACAATCATGGACGGCCAAACAAAGCCTTAGCTGGCACTTATGAAATACAAATTCTAGTCTATTCATCCACAATGCTCCCAAGAAATATGTGATTTGAGCTGCCATTGTTGCCTTTCCTCATATTCCACCTGAACAAAATGTGGCCATTGAGGAGAGGAAAGAGATTCTAATATTCTAAATACTATCAGATCAGGCCTAAAATAGTTGATTGGACTAATTTGAACTCAATCTCACTGAGGTAAAAATAACTTGGGCTTGAATGAGAAAACTAAAAGGAGAAAATGCACTCAGAAGGAGCAGTGAATCAGAACCAACACTTTTTATGTCTTTCAACAAGATGAGGTTGAGTAAGAACATACAAGAAGTTCAATAGGCTGGTTCACGTCTGGAGTTCAAGGCCACTTTTAATGCACTTGAAGATAAAATTTTATGAGTTTTGTGAAATTTCATGAAACATCAAGTTCCAAGGAATTTGACATTTCTAATAAATTTGTAAAATTTTAATGATAAATGTCATTAAATTTGCCTCAAAGTTCGGACGTTAACCGTCCTAATATGTGGGCATGGCTAGAGAAATTTCAATGAATATTTGATAAGAAGTGGAGAATCAAAAAATTACCTGCAAAACTTCATTTGGGAAGGAATTGCAGATTTGCAACACAGCCTTTGTTGAATACTCATTGCTACCAATATTAAATCTGCAACTCTGACTCCATTTGAATTTGAAAATTAACCCAAATAACCTCACATCCCCAAAGCTCAATTTGGTGAGAAAAATCAACAAACCTCCTTGATCACCAATGTCTCTTGGATTTAATGTTCTCAATTCAGTTCCAGTGTCTATATTCTCTATTCCCTTTGGTTATTCTGATCTCTATCTCTGTGAAAGTGTATTGTGGTTTCATATCCTTTTCTACTATTTATATCTTTATTTATATCTTAGATTTAAACAGAGGGCAATGACCCTAGTACAGCTGAATACAGGTGAAGAGAACTCTTCTTGACAAATGAGTAGACAAAAGGTCTGGGGAAGATATCTGTCCAGCAAACAAGCATGTCTTGGAACCGCCTTATGGGGAGGAATTTTCATCATCAAGAAGGTCAAGGCTGCTCACCAAGGATGAATCTTTCACAGAAAGTTGATACACCTGATACCTACTTGCCATAAGGGGTATCAATTCATCTACCGTCTTGTAAGGGTACCCAAAAAACTTGAAGGGTATGATTTTTTTTAGAACTGTTGATTGCATTGAACTTAACCAGGCCAGCAAATCAGAGAAAGTTTGAGGAAAAGTCCCTTGCTTGTGAGAAAAAGAAAGAGAAAAACAGAAGATGGTCTTACCTATGCCAGACAATCAGAGGGTGGAATGATGATGAAAAAGGCCCTCCATGTCTGACTGCTGGACCAGGTAAAAACATAAACCAAAAATGTCACAGAATGTGATTGAGAATGAACGAGAGAGGGACATGCATAAAAATTCCTACCAGATTGTACTGCAGACTTGGCCAATTCTGCCAAGGGGACCAACCAGGGGGCACCAAAGCCGGTGTTCAATGGGAAACCCAATCCACACACTGAGTGTCCAACAGGCCGGCCCAAGTAGAAAACAAATAAATATTCACCATGGAACACACCCCTCTGCTGATAGATTGGATGACCAGCCAGATGTGATGATATAAATAACAGAAGAATGAAGAACACAAGAGAAATGCTCCAAAGGGGAGAGAGAAAGGCAATCAAAACACCATGCATGTCCGTTCTGCAAAAAAACCAATTCTGGATGTCAATCACCCATTACCCAAAAAAAGAACGCATCCAATTTTGCAGATCAGATGCCTACATGCACAAAAGAAGCATCGCGCCCAACGTGGGGCTCGAACCCACGACAATTCGATGACATCATCCCAGGATGAATGTGAAACCCTCGTGTAAGAGTCGAATGCTCTACCAACTGAGCTAGCCGGGCGGGCGATGTTTGAGATGACGTAATGAGAGATTATAAACATTTCTTACCAACTAAAACGACCGTTTTGCCAGCTTAAGTACTACAAATATACATTATTGAAGCACAGTTGCGGATGGTTGATCAAGTTTTTACAAGCGAAACGAGGCAAGACTAAGAGATAGATCGATGTCGAGGGAGGGTGAGCTGATCATGAGGGATGAACAAATCTTGTCAACCCACGAAGGAAAGATGACGATAGGAAAATAAAGGGATGTGGGGCACCGATTCGCGAGGAACGAGCCATCAATAGCCGTCCTAATCCAGCGATATAGACCGATCTGACTCTGTGTTTGGGTAAGATCGGGTGGCTCAAAAAAAAATCAGACGGACCGAGTTGAAGTCCATCATTCAGGTCCATCCACTTCTTCTTCGTCTAGTCGTTGATCACCAATACATTTTGCTCATTTATTGGAATAATCCATCCAACCTTTCCTCTAGTTGTTCGGCAGAAAACTTGAGATATTTGGAAGGATCTGTCCACAACAAAGGGGGGAAATTTGGTAACCATCAGATTTTGAAGAAAACGAGTCAGAAAGACAATAGTGATATGTGGCGAAGACCGATGTTCTTACTTTTTGAAAATTGGCCGCCTTCGTGTCGTTGGGTGAACTTAGCATCTAAGAGAATGAGATAGAAGTAAGATTTTAGAAGAAGGATGAACATTTAAAATGGGATGAGGGGAAAGGGACAAACAAGTGGGCATGATCATCCTTTCGATTTCATCTCTCAACTGGTCCTTGAGATCAGGATCATTATTAGCAAGATTAGCGGCCTGATGCAACTGGATGACCTCCTCGAAGGCCTCATTAAACCTTCCGAAGCGGTCCTTGACGTCTCTCCTTTCGGCGCCGGCGTGTTGGCCGGGCAAGGCGCTCTTGACCGCCCCGAGCCCGAACTTGCCCTCCTCTCCACCCGCATCCATCAGTGCGGAGATCAAGGGGGACCAGATCTCGAGGTATCGGACCTTGCACGTCCGTACCCGCTTGTTCAATTGGTCCGCTAGCGGGTCCCCGTAGATATCTAAAACCGCCGACTCTAATAATTCTCGTCGAATATATGTGAAGTTGTTCAACATGTAAATCGCTCCCACTCCGTTCCTTGCCGTCACACTCGTAATCGCACTCGCAACAGTAGACCGTAACTTCAGATTCTTGGACCGCGCTTCTATGGCAGCGTACAATGTCGATAGTGCATCATCTATTTGTAAATCATTCCGGTGAATGAAGAAAGGAAAAAATCAATTCCATCAGCGGAAACTCAATATCCAACCAACAAATATTCAATAATCACTGACCAAGATACTTGATCAAGAGCGGTGCTTCATCGTTAGATGCGCCAGCACTAGAGGGAGTCTTGGGATTATTCGTCGCTCCAAAGATCCATTTTCCATCACCAAGAATGACTAAGAGGGTCTCGACCATGTCAGGATGTTGGCACAGCATCTTCAAATATTCCACGACGACGATCGTCATTTCGCTGGTCATCGTGTTACTTGCCTCACTTCCAACCGGCTGTTTCTCTCCAAAGGTCTTGGTATCCGCAATGAATTCGGGTAACGATCTGAGACAGGAGCCCTTAAAGGCATGTAAGAGATCTCCGAGCTCATTCTCCTTCCGGCCTGCAGGCCGTCGAACTTCCTCGTCAAATCGTGGCAATTGTTCTAAGATCGCCGCATAAGTGTCGAATGCAACTCCAATGTACGATGATAATGATCGCTTGATAACGCTGTTGACCGATTGTCCCGTTTCGGACAGTAATTCTAAGGATGCTGAAATCACTTGTGAATAGATTGCTTTGATTTGGATCGTGCTGGCACCTTTGAAGACAGATAGAACCGCTTTATATTCAACCTGAAAACCCAAATAATAAATGTTTGCACAAGCACAAGATTATATTTAGTCAGTAAAATATCAAGATACGTATTCAAGCCAAAAAAGAAATCCTCAGCAAGAGGAAAAAAAAAAAAACTCAACATTTAGCATATCGAGAAGACAGGAGATAAAGCTTGAAAATTGACCAAACCCGTCTCCATTTCTGATAGCTTCGACTGAGCCATCACTAAGGGTCTTCAAACTCGCCACGACATACTTACTCCTGACTGAAGCATACGCTGATACGATCTCCTTATGGACATCTTGTATGGTTTGGTTGCCTGGAAGTGATTTAGAGAGTTGTTGAAGATAGGCGTATAGTTTATGAAGTTTATTGATCGTATTGGGCGAAAAACCTAAAGGTTGGGGAGCTGTCCATTGATAAAAATGTATGTGCAAATTGGAAATGAGAAAATGAGCTCTATAATTTGAATTTTCCTTCCCAATTATCCGACCTCGAATGGGAACTTTAAACTAACGATCAGCTGTCTGATGGACCGGGTCTGTCAGAGGTGGTCCAGTAGAGTCGCGAACCCAACCAGCAAACATGTCACTCAAGCTTTCGACGCCAGTTCTTAGTAATTTTTCCTAGTATTAATTAATTTCACAAAATAGGACCCCAGGTGGATCAGATTTGATAATTTGTTTGCTTGATTAAAATCAATCGAAACAGATTGGTTTAAAGCATACCGCATGGAGTGTAGATTCGCTGACGGGTGCTTCAGTGCGAGAAAGTGTTTGGATAGACTTGACGATCTCATCGAGGGAGGAGATGAATGAGCCCAACTCATTGGGATTAGGACTAAGGACGAGGGGGAGATTTGAGAAGTATGAGTGATAAAGCCGACGAATAAGAGTTCTCTAGCAGAGTGATGGAATCAACTGACCCGTTTTGGATGACCACCTCTTGATGGATGGCCGCGTCGTGATGGGCGAGGAGCTTATCAACAGCCAAGATGGTCTGGTCGATGTCTGAGGATCGGAGAGCGTTTGGAGAATTCATACGCGTAAGCTCCGATGGCCTCCGCATCCCATTCAGTTTCTCAGAGAATCATCTCGCTCGTACTTGCATTGATTCGAGTTAATGTTCTCGTGTCATTATGGATCGGCACAATCGTCCTTTCTAGTCTTGAGAGTCTCTTCAAGGGTTTAAGATTCCAGCCAGAAACATAAACAACCAACGTTCCACGATTGAGTGAGCATCCAAAAGTATTCCCAACGGTATTATTTGGTTCGATCAACGTTCAATAAGAAAAATAGACAATTATCAAATTTCAGTAATGTCTCCTCAAATCACAACAATAAAGTGGGGGAAGGACAAGCTCGATAGGACGCGATACATGAAGAAATAAATACCGAACAGGTGGATAGATGAGGAGAAGAGGGGATGATTTTGTGAATGATTATTGTTGACAGACATCATCGAAGCCAGTTAACATTTTCGACAGATTGTCGGTGATTCGTTTGGACTTATCCAGACTGTTGGAGAGCAGGACGAGGTCGGCCGCCGACTGGTCGAGGTTGGAGTGCTGGATTGTGTGTGCTTGGATGGTTGATGAGCTCATTCTGGTGATTAATGTTTTGTGTATCTTGGTTGGTTGTTTTGGGTGTTTCTGATAGTTGGAGTGGTGTGACCGAGCAAGCGCTGATGTAAGAGAAGGGAGCGGATATTCAACTCCAGCGGAACTATCGGATCGGATAGGGTGTGCAGAATATCCGGACTCTGTAAGCTTTCAGACACAAGCACAGGCTAGCAAATACCATCTCTCCTTCTGAATCAGCCAGAACTATGTATGATCACAAGCCAGTAAGGGGGGAATCATCTACAAAAGATGGATGGTGTTCTGCTTCTCTCTGTCCACCCATGTAGCTTATCTAGACTCATCTTGAGACTCATCTTACTATCATCCCTTCATGAACATCAAACAGATCAAATTTTCTGCGAATGCAATTAACCAGGGGAGGAGCAGGGAGGAGCATACAGAATGTACATCTATTAACTCACATCTGGTCGAACGACCCTGTATTCACACTCTTTTTTTCTGAAAAACAAACCCTTTTCATGATGTCTTGTATGTCCATATAAGGTATACATCCCACATCTTTACATTTTTGCTCTAAGATCATCACTCCCTTTCTACTCCTAACTAACCAACATAAGTCTTATCTTTGGAGATAAAATGTGTACAGCTTTTGGGGGGCTTTTGCTTTCCTCTTCTTGAAGCAATTTTATTTATCTACATGACCGACAGATTTGACTATGTACTTGATGATGATGATGGGGGGGGGGGGTATCTCCAAGATAAATCTTGATAAGGAATACGAGGGTCGAGAAATCTAAACAGTGGCAGCTTTTGTGGATCTGAATTGGAAGCTGAGAAGTCAGCCATGATTGTAGTAGACCCACGAGAACTGAAACGCAAACATGTGGATTAAATACGTACAAATGGCTAGAGGATTGGTGGGGAGAGTCTTAGCCTAGTCGGTTGCCCGTTCCCCAAGCGTGCCGAGTGGTAGTAGGCGCCTGACGAGTTGTTCCTCCCGCCGGGTTGACGGGGGCCTGGCCACCCCAAGTGCGCGAGCGTGCGGCGAAAGCGGTGCCTGCGCCGAGCCGTTGGCCTCCACCACCGGGAGTCTGTTGGGCTCCATCGAGCAGCCGGGTAAGAAAGGCGGGGGCATACATGAACCAGGGACGCTGTCCGCCGTTTGAGGGCGGATAGACGTTGTTTAAGTAGTGGATCCCGTACCCGGCTACCACGCCCGAGAGTGACTGGCTCATCAGTGGCATCCCGCCTCGCACGTAATCAAGAGCCAACATCGCAAATGGAAAGTACTGTGTCGTCCAGCCAGTCATCCAGTCAGCGTCAAATTCTCTCTCTTCATTTCAGACTGCTCCTTTCGAGAAGGGATTCGGTTTATTACTCAACGGATGCTTTGAAGGGCGGGAGGCCAAAGAGAGATACCAGAGAGTCTGGGTTGATTTGGGACCACTAAAACGGACCAAAGGATGCATTTTTTTTTTTTTGAAAACAAAGACATTTAACCAATATCACACCATTCAATTTTAGCCCATCTTCTCAGACTTTATCAGAAAACAACACAATACACTTGAGAGAGAGAGATATACTGACCATGAATCCCAAGCCGCTCATGAGAGGACCCCAAAAGATCATAGATTTTAGAGGGTAATTTGTCCCGATGATAGCGACCATTAAGCAGATTATCGTCCAAGCGTAATCAGCGGTTCGACCGGCAAATGATTGGGTTTCTAGTGCCATTGAGTTCCTATATAGTAGAAATAGATCGAATAGGAGTTGTAATCCTGACCCGGCGAAGAAGAATGGTGCTAGTTTTTTTTTGTGAGAGGGATTTTGACTTCAGCTTTTCATTCTTGAGTGTCTTTTATCAGTCGCTAGATGAAAAAGGAGTCTTCAGAACTTACTGAGGATTCTCCATAGTTCGAATTTTTTGAAGATATGTCTTGTTGAGAAGAGACTAAATAATACGATCACCAATCAATCAGATGTCCGAAGTCAGTGAAGGTCATCAAACAAGAAGACAGTAGGGAGTGACGACTTACTTACATATAGTAAGGGTTTACCAATCCGAGTGCGACTGGGCCGGTGACTGAGAGTGCTAGTCCGAGTAAGGTTCTAGTGACGATTGGGATCTTCTTTATTTCGTTCAGGATCTCTGCCATTTTCGTCTTCAAATCTTCAATGTGGTTGTTCGGTAGTTTGGAGCGTCGATCTCGAAATGACTCTGGTGTTGTTGTGGTTAGGAAATTCGACTGACGGCTGGCCTGTTGACCGGCGAGTCGGTGTGCCACACGTCATCGATTCACCAGACGTCGTCACCATGACCACCTAGAGCCTCCAACAAGCCCATTTCCTAGTAGAGTGCAACTCAGCCACATCGATGCTCCATGATCACCTTGTTGACATATCATTGAGAGAATCATCAAGCTCCAGACCTGGTGAATATCAATTCTTTTTGTAGAGAATTCACCACAACTTTATTAGATCTGCCTTGAGGGTTTAAAATTTTTTGGTGTAGTGTAACTAAGGATCAATTACACTAAATTTTGGCATCAAAAGTCAAACTTTGGTTTCAATTTTCAACCCATTGTCAGCTGAAAAAAAGAGCTTGTTGGTGTATTCTTCATTACTCAAAGATAACACATGTTAGTCCATAAGACTCATGCTGCATGTTCCCAGCAATGAAAATAGGATACTATGGACTACCCTATTGTAGGAAGTCAAATATTGTCTATCTTAGCACTTGGTCTGCTTTGTCTTGCACTTAGATTGAACTCTTGTGGTGGCAAAGACAAATCATATTTTCTCTCATCTGCAGCAGGAGCAGGTTTGGCAATTGTAGACTCTTAACACTGGTAAGAAAAAAAAGGGGTTTCTCCGCAAGGTGTACAGGAAGTTGGTTATGAAGATCAATTCAATTTTCCTATTTCAAACTGTTTGTAGCTCGTCATTGAGGTATGCCAGGGCATGGCCTATTGGGGTGTCCCTGGGCAGCAAGTGGACATGGTGTGCGGTAATTAATGTTGGCGTAATCATTGCAAGTGGTACAACGTCGGCCTGCACCATTTGTTGGGTATTCACACCGATGTTTATGTCCAGCATGGCAATTGTAGAAAGCTGGGCATGGGGAATTCTGGAACTGCGACCAGACTCTGGTGGGGTGGGTGCAGGGCTGCTCCAGCTCCTCAAAGCCAGCACCTGGTGGCATTGGCACTGTCTGTGCTGACAGTAGGCAGGCTGTGGCAAGGAAGCCCAGTGCCTTTTTGATGGGCATGGTGGCAGGCAGGTCTGTGATGTTGTTGTCTTGAGGGCAGATTGAACACAGGAGGTGGCTTATAGGATGAGGTGCTCAATTGTGTCTGATAACCAACTGTGCCAGTGAGGCAATGTTTACATTGTTGGAATATCTGCACTAAAAGCACCACATGTATGCAAATGGCTTTTCTCAGCCAATAAACCAATTTTGGATGTTCATTTGTAGGTTTTTGATAATCACACTACCACCACCACCAAACAGCAAAAAGTATTGCCTTTTGCCAAGCAGGTTAATGAACTGCTTGGCCATCTGCTGCCAGAGATGCCTTCCTCTTGCCAATCTGATTATGGACCTGCTCAGTGAAAGGCAGCACCTCTGGCTGATCAGATTTTTAACCTGCTTGATGAGGGAAAGGCCTCTTTTTGATGTGTCTGATAGTCTGCTACCACAGTATGAGAGAGCTGTTAGATTGAACCATGAGCACCACCACCCAACTAAATTGCAGGGGGGTGGAACCATCCTGGTGACCCACTGCAATGGTAGGACAATCACAATCCTGACTGACATTAGAACAGTATGTGCATCACAGAAAGTGTTGGTTTGTACTCAAAACTACTGCAAATGTCATCTGCACTTCTCCCGCCTTGGATTGTTATACTTCATTGACCAGAAGGAATTCATCCTGTATGAGGAGGTTGTTAAACCTCATTAACTGGAAGGAAATCCTTCTGGTCATGTGGGAGCAACTCCCAGAACCCCCCAAGCATGAGGGGTGGCTTGGGGAGGCAACTCCCCAAATATAAAATATAAAATAAAATAAAATAAAAATATAATATAAATTGATGGCCGACTCCCAAAGTTGGCCATCCATTTGGAGGAACAACTCCCAAGCAATGTCTGTCAACAGTATTTGGGAGTTTTTGTTCTAAGCCCCCAAAAAACATCACAAGTCTTTTATACAGGGGATTGATAAAGAACCCCCCTCTTCTGCTTTTTACACCTGGTTTTCAAACCCACTTTTCTGCTTTTAAACTGGGTCTTTCCCAGCCTGTTTAATTCATTCTTTGGGGATTGAAATATGCTCAAAATCATCTGAAATTGAGCATTATTTCTAGGTTTATCAACAATCTCCAAATGTTTATTTTTATTCATTTTATTTATCAACAGTTGATGATGGTTGACATCATTGAGCCTCAAGTGAGTGCAGCCAACTTGATTTTCAGCAGAGTGTGAGATCTGTCACATTTTTGTGACATTTCTGTTCCCTACCTACCTCCCCACTCCCCTTAGAAACCTTACAAGGCAATGGAGTCAATTTGGATATCCAATTTCCTCAACTCTAGAGAATTTGATCAAGAGGGTCTCAGTAAATTTATGAAAAAAAACAAAGAAGAATCTTGATGTTTTCAGCTGAGAGAATTTTGAATGGATCATGATGGTTTTAGCTGAGAGAATTATAACCTGATCAAATGCTGCAGTATAAATGAGTTAAGCACTCAAGTAGAACTTGAACTTGTTGCAAGATAAAATAAGGCCCAGCTTGGCAGTGGGATAAAAATAGGACTAATTTTGCCCAATCAATTAAATTAACAATGACCCATTGATAATCAAGTGTCCAATTTTTTTATGGCCAACATGCACTGCTGATCTATTCAATTTTGACATCAAGCTCAATTGATTAGGCCTTCTTCAGCACCATGATATCAAGATTATGATTTTTCCCAATAAAAAGTGAAATTTTGTTATTCTTTTGATGTAGATGGTCTGACCAATTCAATTTGATGTGAAAATTTAACAGATCCAGAGGCTTACTTTGGACAAATAAAATTGGGTTCATGATCTCAAATGTTTTTTTATCTAATTGATTGGCCAATATTATACCTATATTCATGCCACTACAAAATGAGGCCTAAGTGATAAAATTACATATGTTTCACAAGAAGAATGTTGTACAGGAATTTCCAAGATTTTGAAGATACAAGATAGAAAGGATATATATTTGATTGAAGAAAGTTTCAGAAATGATACAAGTGGACAATCGAAAAGAGAAAAGACCCAATTCATGTTGAGCCAATGGGACCATTGGCGTGTGAGATTCGAACAGAAGGAGTGCCAAGGTTCTTAACAGCAGCATCACCATGCTGCATGCGCAAGATCCAAATCCTGGGGTAGTTGATTGAGCTTTGCGGGGCAAACTGCTTGGCAGCCAGCTCTTTCAAGGCAACCATCTTGACCTCGGTGTTCATGTAGAGGTCCTTCTTCGATTCTTCGAGCAGGTATGCCTTGTACGCTGGGGTCTTGGAGGCCATGTCATGGACCATAATCATACCTTGAAAATTATGTTGCGGAGAAGAAGCAAAATTTCAATTAAAACTTAGCGGAGAATGTGATGAATAATGCTCACGATAGATATTGGCCGCGTCTGAGGGCGTAGACTCGGCCATTTTGATTATTTCTTTTCCTGTTTTCTGCTTGGTTCTGGATGAATAGGAGAAGCGGAACGATTCGAGTGAGTCAATTTTTCTGGCTAGAAAAGAGATGTTGCGGCTAGGAGGGGGGGAAAGAGCGAAGAGAGAATCGCTGACCTTTACTCTGGAGGGAGGATGCTGGAGTGGATGAGTTGGGCAGGTGGTGGGAGAAAGTAAGAGACGGGTACGATGTGGGCTATTTATAAAGTATCCAAGTTTTGCTGAGCTGATCTGCTTCTACTTCCCACTTGCTGATGTTGCTCCGCCAGTACATTCTCCATAGCTGAAGGGGAGGAGCGTTGTAGCCGCTGAGCCGAGAAGAGACTGCCATCCGCGTGCCTCACAATGAAAGGGCTCATCGATTCAGCTGAAATGCAGTCTGTTGGATCTGGGTTCAGCGTGTTTTCCTCGTTTCTTGGGGGAAGGACCATAACAATTGATCTCAAGAATGCTTCGGCATCCATTCATCTACTGGCCCTCCTACAGACTACTCGCAATCCCTATCTCTGTGCTGCCAACTGACTACTACCCAAGTGTGAGCAGCTGCCCAAAGGATTTGAAAAGAAGAGTCCTCAAGCCGGGTAAAGAACATGCAATAGAGCTCTTAAGTTTGCAGCAGCCTTGGGTGAAGCGATGACGGGTCACACTCACAGGCGAGTTGATAAATACAATGTGTAATGACTTGACATAGCAGCCGTAAGTCTGGGCAGCCAGTACTTGGTCAACCAAAAGAATCATCAGGGGGGGGGGGGGCAATAAAGATTCCCTCAGGAGAAGTTAGGATTTCAAACTGACATTGCTACTCATTCATGCCATTGCTAGCCTCCAAGATTAAAATCGACTAAAAATCGCATTGAAAGTAGACATTTTCCCGAAATCTGCTCCTAAGAAATAAATAAAGCATACCAAAATGCTCAGTACAAATTTTTTTCCCCTGATAATTGTTGGATTTAAAGAATGTAAGTCAAGAGGGACCTGAGCTCCTTAACAAATGAAAGCGCGACAAGAAAACGAATCTCTCAGCCTTCCCCACAATTGGGGAATGTATAATCCTTTTATTCATGATTTGAGGGATTGCACATACCAAGCTTCAATTTTTCACTTGATTCATTAAACAAGAGTGAGTTTCTTGTAATCAGGATGATCGCTATTGCATACTATCAAATCTGAGATTGTGTCATCTGATTTTTGAACACCAACTCTGCAATTGGGCTGTGAATTTATGGACATCACTCAAGCACTCCTTTTGTGCTCCTAGAGCCACCACCGATTCATTATGAAGATTGAGAAACATGATTTTGGGGGTAAGGTTTTCGTTTTGCAATTGAGTACCTGTTTCAATGATCTACACATGTATATATATTAACTTGTTTTAGTTTTATGTTGCACAAACAGTTGATTCAAAACGCTACATTTTTGTTTGAGTGGTGTAATTCTTGCTGGGTAGAGACGGAAAAGTAACACCAGCATCTTCAGCTACATCTTATCAAGGCTGGTCAAATTTACAAGTTCTACCGATTTAATGCTTCGTGTGTTGATTTTCGGCTAGTTTTTTTTTTTTTTTTCGTGTAATGTGTAAATCGCCGATGATGGATCTAAGCATGAACAAAACAAAGCTACAACTCCGTTAGCTATTTTACGGATTCCAGTTCTAAGCTGGAATGCTATTTCCAAAGATCATTTGACCCGAAGACTTCAAGTTCGGAGCAAACCTATCAAAAAATGTTCAAGCAAGACACTTGATTTAGTAACTACAGAATTTTTTTTTGCGGATCGACAAAGGATCGGCGCAATGACTCACTTAGTTGCTTGAGCTGCAGGCTCGGGTTTGTAAGGCTCAGGCATATCTTTAAGACCGATTGCCTTGGCCACTCTGGTACCTAAATCTTTGTCGACGGCCAAGAATATAGCAACTTGATCCTTCTTGATGCGATCAAGACTGACGTTCCCAAGATGTCCGCTGACGTTTTTGACAAAACGTTCTTTGGCGCCATCGTCAAAGACTTTCGACCACAGCGCACGAGCAGGCTCGAAGTCTAGTTCCGTGACTGTTGAGAGGTCAGCGACTGCTTGGCCGATGAAAACCTCATGATCTCCGGGGAATTGATAAGGTCTTTGAGGATATTTCATCGGTTTGATCGTGCTCTTGTAATTGGGTCTTTTCCCTTGGTTATCGCCTAACGCCATACGTCCATCTCGTTGAAAGTTGGCGACTGGGCTGACAGATTCATTAACAGGAAGCTGAGTATAGTTGATTCCTAATCTGTAAATGTGAGCATCGTTGTAAGAGAACAGTCGGGATTGAAGTACTGGATCGGCACTTGGCTCGACTCCCGGCGGGAGATGAGACGGCGAGAAAGCCACTTGCTCGATTTGAGCGTGGTAACTGAAAATCATTCAAGGCATCAGCAAATGATCCCACCAAGATAAAAAATTCGAACTAAACAAGATGTGCTGACTTGATCGGGTTTTCATTCAACACGAATTTAGCAAAAGGACGCAACGGGAACTCTTTGTGGGGCCATACCTAAGAGGGATATGGAAAGCTGTCAGTTTCTCCTGTCCACTGCTCGAAATTAACAAAATCAAGATATTGGAATCAAACCTTTGTAAGGTCCAAAATGTTGTATCTGTGTTAAATTTCAGACCGTATCGTAAGTCAAAGTTTTCTATGTAAGTATCCAAGATTCTACATTGCCTTACCGAAACTTTTGCGCTTGCTCAGCGGACATCTCTTGGACATAGCAAGTCCAAGAAGGGTACTCCTTTCGTTCAATCGCATCAAATAAGTCCTTGGTAGAGTGATCGGGGCTTTCGCCTGCCTTCTTAACAGATTCTTCTTGCGTTAAGAATTCACCTCGTTTTTGATCTGCCAAACAATGAATCTTTCATTTGAATGGATGATGGATTCATCACAGAAAATGAGTACTACTGCGGGGTCAAGAGGCTTCGATTCTAGCCCATTGCTCTGCAGACCACTTACCTGGACATATTTGAAACTTCCAGATGCATTAACGAACTTGAAAGTATGGCCCGAATACGCGTTCATCCCACGATAACCATCGGGTACACCACGGTCACCAAATAAGATCATGACCTGGTGAATCGACTCTGGGTTTTGGGACAAGTAATCCCAAAACCTTTTTTTAGATCACAAGGACCCAGGATCAGTTGCAAGAAAAACAAAAGTCTCCGAGAAGACAGTATTTAAGGAAAAAATTGCATAAAAGAGAGTATCTGCGCACATGTCGGGATCATCACCGTGAGATAAATTTGACTGAGGATATCTCTTTTGAGTGTGGATGAAATGGGGAAATTTGACCGGGTCCCTGAGGAAGAAGACAGGGGTGTTGTTGAAAACCTAACAAAAAGTTCGAGATCAGTTTGGAGTGAAGATTTGCTATGCGTCGTTTGATAACCTCACCCAGTCCCAAATACCCTCCTCCGTCTTGATCTTGATAGAGAAACCACGAGGGTCTCTGGCAGTATCTGGGGAGCCTCTTTCACCACCGACAGTCGAGAATCTGACGACCACCGGGGCTTTTTTACCGACCTTGTTGAACAGCTTTGCACAACAGATATCAGAGATATCGTGCGTGATTTCAAGATAGCCTAAGGCACCCGATCCCTTGGCATGGACCACACGTTCAGGGATACGTTCACGATGGAAATGCTGAAGGAGATCGATGTGATGGTAATCTTGAAGTAGCAATGGACCATTGGTTCCTAACCTTTGAGCCTCGTAAGGCTCGGGATACGGATTCCTGAATTAAATCATTCCAAGGGTTGGTGTCAGCCCCTCTTCAAAGTAAGGGATAGCAAAGCGAGGCCCGAGATTGACGTACCCTCCAGAGGTAGTATACACGGCGTCGTCACTGCTCTCATTCGCCTTAGCAGATGACATGCTGATCTCTAATGATAGTTGTATTCAACAAACGAGGACCGGATAATAAGGATAATAACCAGATGAAGGCAGGAAAGTTATATGTGCTAAATAATGCAGAGGAGCAGGATCAGGGGAAGAGTGTTGTGGGGGACAGAAGACAGTACTTAAATCGGCTTGTTGACCTTTTTTTTCACGGTGGCTGTGATCATGGAGACTCACAAAGGGCCATATGAAATCAGAGAGACAGACACAGTTCTGTGACGTCATTCCAAACCCTGTGCATCTCCCTGAATGCAGAACAGTGGCTGCCCATCCAACGGCTTGTGATCCCGATTCCGATTGCCAAAAACAGATATTTAAATAAATATTTCTGCGCTGGTCTACAAACCACCGGTAAACTCTACGGATTCCATCAATATGGTCAAGAGCTCTCGGTTGACTTGCTCTACAAATAGCATAGACCCAGAGCCACTCGTGATTCGGGAATGAAAGTGAGATACGATTACGCAGGCGTTGAGGACCCCTTCAGGATGAAATTTGGATGACTTTTATCGGTCAGGCATCATATATGTACATAGATCCGACCGGTCATCGAGATTTGGGCTCTGATCGACACAATGCAACTCTCCGATGCTAACCGACCTCAAGCCGACAGTGACCGCACTTTAAGGTTGAAGCTCGAACGCAATTACGGAAGAGGTTCGTCCGCCAGGTAACAGGTTTCACAAAGTAGATGCTGTAATCGTAGGGTTCACAGATCGATCGAGCAGATGTCACTAAGATGTCACGTCTGGGGCGGCTCTCACCGATCAAACAGAGCTATGTAAGGCATTATCCCGAAGCCCGGGGTTCAGGGTTTTACCCCGCTCCCAAACCCCGGGGTTCAGGACTCGGGACATGCCCAACCAAAGCCCCGAAACCCCGGGGCTCTCAGTTATGGTGCAGAAAATTGGTTGCTCTCTTTTTTTTGCTTGTTTGAATGTGGATTACGACTTGAAAAGTTTTTTTTTTTACTTTTTTGGTATTTATGTCAGTGTATCGACACCCTTGAGAAAAAAAAAACTCAAAAAATCGAAACAAACCATCAAAAGTCCTGAACCGATTGTTCAAGTGCCGCAAGTTTTCAGCTTGAGAAATGGCTCCTAGCATTGCACAACGGCGCCGCCGGTGGAAAAACATGTTCCAATGCCGCACTAGTAGCTGAGATCGATAGATATTGCCAAGCAAAAAAAATAATATAATATAAATCAAAATCCCCGGGGCTTCAGGGTTTTACCCTGAAGCCCCGGGGCTCGTTCCTCGGGACGGCCCTCTAACCCCGTCCCGAACCCCGGGATAATGCCTTAGAGCTATGCAGTCATCATTTCCAAGGCCTCCACTCAACCTTTTTATTAGCTTTGTCTGGCCCAACTCGATTTCGCCACCTCAACACAGCAGCACTTTTGATAACCAAGATGACCAAAGTGACCCTCGCATCGCTCATCGAGGTTGGTCTTTCTCCTCGATCACTCTTCAACCTGGCACTCGGAGTCAATGTGGGGTCGGCCGTCTGGGTGACCACGATTGGCGGCCTGATCATGTACAAGAACATGCCTCGACCATCGTTCGGGAAAATCCAAGAAAAGGTCAGAGATTTTGAAATCGAACTTCGTCTAATTAAGCCCTCAGATAAAATCTAAATTCCGGTTCAAATCTCTTACAAACAAAAATTCATCATATTGACTTGCTTCATGTTTCTTTTCTTTGCAGTTATTACCAGCATATTTCAAGATGACCACCGGTCTATCAGCCCTCATGCTCGGAATCCACCTGAAACTAGGATCCTCGCTTCACCGGAGTTGCCACGGATGCTCGGACTCGACCTACGTCTTACGGTACCTGCTAGCATCGATGACGATCAGCTCGTTAGTCAACCTGTGCTATGTGGGTCCGAAGACGACTGAGATCATGAATGCCCGACACGAGCTCGAAGCCGTCGAGAAGAAATCCTACGACGATCAAGATGCTAGTGATCAGATGAAACTGCTCAATAAACAGTTCTCGAAAATCCATGGACTCTCTAGCGGTCTCAATCTCATCGGATTCCTCGTCCCTAGTATCTTCCTAGGTCTTTGGACTGGCGAATACGGTCTGTTCTAATCCAATCCAATCCACCTCGAGAACTCGGTTTGGTCATCATGAGCTCAAACGTGAACGCAACCACTTATAAACTCCTTCCTCACCTGTCCTCTGTCAATACTCAATCTTCCTCTCGTTGGCAATTTCAATTACGTCATGCGTTGCACTTTTTACATCACTATCGAATAGATAAACACATTCTGCATCGGCATGCAAACCCAACTCTTGTTGTGTTTTATGGTAGATCTTGAAAAATACACATCCCCATTCAAAGTTGGCCCATTTAAGGAGGAGTTGGGAGAGCTAACTGGCTCCTCCTCTTGGATCATGTACATAACCATCCATGCATGTCAGATAAGATGGAGACTCCAAGCCCACGTTATAAGAAATTCATTCTTGGGTCATTGAAATACTTATCGATCCTTCTACTCATTGTATGCAAGCAAAAGAGTGCGTTGAAATATGTACTTCTCGATTCTTCTACTCATTGTATGCAAGCAAAAGAGTGGTTCCCCAAGAATGCGTTGCAGTCAGGTTGAGAGTTGACAACGCGATAGGATATAAAAAGTAATCATGACTCTGGCCGGGCTCGAACCGACGACAACATGCGAACACCAATCAAGAGATGTTAAGCATGTGCTCTACCAACTGAGCTACAGTGCCAAGGGATATCGATGACGTAGTGGGTCCGTCGGAGAGTATATGTGGCCCCCTCACTCACTGTTGGTCAAGTTTTCAAAGAAAAAAAATACAATCATTCACCTTGCACGTTGTAGAAAGATCAAATCCATCTGCCAAGATTGGAATGATCATCATAATCTTTTACACTACTGTCTACAAACCTGGATCATATCTTTCCCTGCAGGCCTGCCCCAGCCTATGCCCCTCATATCCTCTCTTCCATCCACTAATAATCCAATACACAAAGAAAAACCCTTTTCCAATCCAACCTACATCCATCCCTTTCAAAAAAAAAAAATGGAAACATTCAAGTGTCACAAGATAACCAAACAATAAATTGAAGTATGGCATTCTCTCGCACACACACTATGAGTGATCAAATTACAAAAACCAAGAGAAAAGATAAATAAGTAAGGTTAATAGACATGTATATGTATGTGGATATGAAACATAAAATAGGTGATCTCTATGTAACATACTTGTATATATATATATATATATATATGTATTTACATTGGTGAACATAGGAAGTATATATATATGTATTATGAGTAAGGAACAAAAAAGGAGTCATTGAAAGGAGGCGAGATAATCAGCTAGAAGTCAGATCAGCGGCCTGGTTTTCTTGTGTTCGGTTTTTTTGGAGAGAAGAGAAGAAGAAGAGAAGCAGATTAGGAAGCGGGAGGGGAGAGTCATAAATATCAACTTTTTTTATCATGTGTTTGAAGACTAAGTAACTGATTTTGTTTTCTTGTTCTTGTTCTTTTTTTTGAAAGAAAAAGGTGGTTTCTTTTGCAATTTTTTTTTTGAGGATCTCTTGAGATGAATAAATAATGAACGAGGTAAACTGTATGTCAATGAGAATCAAATCAGTTCATAACAAGATGAAAAAAAAAAACGCAAGATTAGAAAAGAGAAAAAAAAGCTCACATGATCAAGCTTGTATGATTCTTGAAATCAAAGGAGAGAAGAAGACATTTTTTTTGGAATTTGAATAATCTGTTTTTTTGAGGGGGAAGTGAATGTGAAAAAGAAGGAAGCGAAACCGAGGGGAAGGGAGGAAGGAAAGAAGGCACCAAGACACGAGTTTTTTTTGTTGATGTTAATGTTAAAGTTGTTTTGTGTGTGTTTTTTTTCTATGTACTAATGAGCAGACGATGGAAAAGAAATGAAAGAGCTAAAGAGTTCAGAGATTGACGAAAAGAGATTCTAACAAAAAACGAGGTGTC